CCCCCCCCGCCCCCGCCCCCGTAGTTGCTGCCAATTTGGAAGGCCATCTTATCCCACATTATTGGTACCTTTCCCGCAGTCCCTGCGGGTTCTTACATTTTCCCATTTGCAAAGCACTAATTTCTGTTTATATTTCTGCTCCTCTAATTTTCCGTTATGGATTTCCACTTGCTTTGGAGAAACAAGCCAAAAAGCAGATTTCCTCTCCCCAGAAACCTAATTGAGCCCAAATTCTTTGATAATCAAGAAGGAAGAAAAAAGTCCCGCTAGTATGTATTTAGCCAGATCCGTTTAGCTGCTCTACACCAGCGAACCACTGGGCTTCCTGACTTCCTCTTGTGGAAATAAACAGAGACTAACCAAATGAGAAAAGCATTATTCTGGGCTTACCAGGGGAAGAAGAGTCGGCTGCTGTCACCTGCATATGGAGAGACTCAAAGCATCAGAGGAATGGGAAGGCTTTAGAGTGAAGAAAGGGGAGGCTTCGGTAGCCTTATAGCAGGCCGTTGGCCTGGGAAGCTGGAGCACCTAAGGGATTGGCTAAGGGGCACAGTTAGCTTTCCCTGGTTGTTCTCAGTTGGAAGTAGGGTTGACACTTGGGGAAGCTGCCAGTTATGAACAGTCCTGGCTGTATGGGGCTGAATGTCACAGCAGTTATTGTTTAGCTCCCTGAATTGTTAGTACAGCTTACTTTCTTCATGTCTGGCAGCAGGTTGGCTGTCTGGGCTATTTATTATAGCTAAAAGAGTTGGTTTCCTAGTCCTGTTGCTCTAGGCTGTGGGTCAGATGTCTGGTTTTATATATTGTGCTGTTACAGTTGAATGGACCAAAAATAGTCCATGTTCTTGTGCATGACAAGGGATTGTCAAGCGTACACCTCGTAGTAAGTAGCTACATTTATTGAAGATCACGGGACAGTAGCAGCAGGAACAGGCAGAAGGGCAAACAGAAAAAGGACGAGGAAGAGGAACCCTGGATAACTCAGGCTGCCAGTATTGAAAGGGTCAGACGCCCATGACTCCTAATGCCTCCCATTCTGTCTCTTGCTGGTATTGATCTCCTGAGTTTAAACACAGATAATCATTAGGGTGGTGCTGTTTATAGTTGAAGGAAGAGCTCCCTCGACTTCCCTGTTTCTAACTGTGGCCACTCTTCGTTTATATATTCAGTCACTTATTCTGGAAGCAGCCTGTTCACAAGCATGCAGTGTGGCCTGGCACAGTACAGGTGGACATGCCAGCTGCCCTCGTCCTAGAAAAGGGGGCCCTCAAAAGAGGTCACAGACCAAGTTTGCATCCTCAGTCTTCATGTCCGCCTAGGAGAGGCTCCTCCAAGCCTCAGGGAGCCTCCCTTTCTTACATGGGTGATTCCTGCTACCCTGTCCTCCCTTTCGAGGACCAGCATAGGAAGGGTTGGCTCTGAGCCCACCTGTGCTCTCTAGAGGCTGGAGGGTGACTTGCTGGTGCCATGCATGGATCCCTGCAAGACTCGGGAGGAGGTCAGAGTAGGTGGGGGCAGCCTCTGCCCACCGAGGTGGGCACTGGAGAGACAACATGAACTCAGCCCCAGCATTTCACATAGGCTCACCATTCACGTGTATGGTTCCTTTTTCTCTACCATCAGCCACTGCGTGTGAAATGGTCCCATCTCAGGTTGCCCTGGGTGAATCTCGACTGGCTCATAGACATCTCCTGCCAGATCACAGAGCTCGATCTTTCTGCCAACTGCCTGGCTTCCCTCCCCTCCGTCATCCCCTGGGGACTCATCAACCTCCAGAAGCTGAACCTCTCAGACAACCAGCTGGGAGAGCTGCCCAGTGTGCAGTCATCGGACGAGATCATCTGCTCCAGGTGGGCCCCCAGTGCACCCCAGCCACCCCCACTGACCTTCTGCATGGGCTCCTGGGTTTGTGGTTTTGAAACAAAAGTTCTGGCTAAAATGTGAGAAGGAAGTTCTGCCAGCTCCTACACAAGCTCTCGGGAGCAAAGGAGCAAGGCCCTTTGTGGCCCTTTTCAGTGAACTCGGAGAAGTCTAGAGAGATGGTCTGGCCAAGGCTGCACAGCACACGAAGGGCCACAGAACTGCCTGCCCGAGATGCCCACCTTAATCCTGCACAGGAATAGAGGAGGGAGGCGAGAGCGTCCTGGGCTGGTGGAAACCTTTACTCCACCCCAGGAATGGTGGGACGGGCCTGGGAGAAAGGGTCTGCTCTCTGGGACTTGGCAGTGCGGGGACAGCGTGGGCTCTGCCTGCTTTCTCGGGGGCATTCGGAGAGGCCTGAACCTTCTGCCCGAAGCTGCATGGGTAGGGAAAGAACCTACTTAACTTACTCATTCAGTATCCATATCTGCAAAGCCTCTTACCATAAAGGATTTGAGCTGGTTGCACAAGCCAAGCCTCTAAGTGAAGTAAGGGACAAGGATGTTGGAAAGAACTTGGGCTCATAGGCATGTGTTGTGCACCAGAAACTTAAAAGAGCAACGACTATCTGCATAGGTTCTTTAACTTGGGCTGGATAAATGAGCCCACGAGGGTCTGAAAAGCTCGGCCCCTGCTCTGCGGTCTTCCATTAGCTGGCAGGGCACCGTCTTACTTTGCTCCATCGCACATTTTAATCCCTGTTGGTCAGTGGGAACAGGACCGCCAAGGAGAGACTCCATCCTCTGCATACCAGATGTGGCAACCGTTAACCGAGTGAATACATATCACATGTGCCACATTTCTAGTGCACACTCTGACCACGTGTGGGGGAAAAAGTAATACCTCATTTACAGAGAAAATTGTAAAGTGCTGTTTGCCTCTTTCATCTGACGACTTGGCGTCCCTCTTCCCCCACCCCAGGCTGCTTGACATTGATATTTCCAGCAACAAGTTGTCCCACCTCCCGCCTGGATTCTTGCACCTCTCAAAACTTCAAAAACTGACAGCATCTAAAAATTATTTAGAAAAATTGTTCGAAGAAGAAAGTGGTATGTTTCATCATCAGTGACCCGATGTAATTAAGTCATTTTCCTGACAAAAATATTCTCTTTTGACCGACTCATATTTTTTCCTCCCCCTAGCCACCAACTGGATTGGTCTTCGGAAGCTACAGGAACTTGACATATCTGACAATAAACTGACAGAACTCCCTGCTGTTTTCCTGCATTCTTTCAAATCGCTCAGCTGCCTGAATGTCTCCAGAAACAGTCTGAAGGTGTTCCCAGACCCCTGGGCCTGCCCCTTGGTTAGTGTCACACACGGCCACAGTCACCTCTGTTTCCAGGGAACCTGGCACGGCTCTCTCCACGAAGTCTCTCCCTTCGTCTCCTGGAGGCCACGCCGGGAACCAGGGTTGTTGCTCCCATGCAGCTGAGCCCTGTCGCTCGACATTGCAGCAAGGCCAAGTGTCTCGGGCAGGTAGCTCACCTGTAAGCCAGCTCTCCTGGCTCTGGGCCATGAGCCACACAATAACACTGTGGAGCTTTTTGCAGCGGCAGGTTGCACCCTGGCGCAGCATGATGGTTCCACCCACAGAGCAGGGGGCGGGATCAGTTCTTTTAGGAGAACTATAAAATCCAATAAGAATAAGAAACAATCTGCATTGGCACCACTGCCAGCTAAATGATGTTTTTGTTTCTTGGAGACTTGGCTTGTGAAAACAGATGGAGTGTAGAACAGCATAAAGAATACGTGTGCTTTACTGCTGTTGGTTTTCAACCAGGAAATTCTCCCTCGCTCACGTTAGCATCTCTCATTTGACCATGTGTGTGTGGGAAACCAGCTCCAGCATGGCTCTGAATCATTCCATTATTTCCAGCAACAATGGGGCAGATGGGTGTTCTGGGGTGGAAGGGAAGGACTGTGAGCCACCTTTGTCTCCCCAGAAAACGCCATTCCCATCCCTTCCTCGGAGCGGGGCAGGACCATGGGGCCAGCAAGAGCTCATGGCCTCTGAACTCACACTGCTCCTTATTTGTGACAGGGCCCTGTTTACAATGGTCTTATTTTTAACACTAAATTTGCAGTCTGATAGGCATCTTTGCATTGAAAGGGCTAATTAATACTCATTTCTTTCTCCTCAAACTCCTAGAAATGTTGTAAAGCATCCAAAAATGCCCTGGAATCTCTGCCAGACAAAATGTGTATCTTTTGGAAAAGCCACCTTAAGGATGTGGATTTTTCAGAAAACGCACTGAAAGAAGTTCCCATAGGACTTTTCCAGCTTGATGTAAGTCTAACGGCACTTTATTTCTCATGTTCAGCTTCAGTGACAAAAATGACTCCACAACGCAGTGGAATCTGTATGCCTTTCCTGAGCTTCTGAAACAATTAAGGAAAAGGGATGAAGGAAAAGTTCATAAAAAGTACTCGTGGTCATAAGCAAAGATGGGGAGGTGGGAGTGCAGGGGCCTCAGGGTGGTGGAATTATGGGTTTGTTCTGTTCGTCAGCTTTCCATTAATGTCACAAATACCTGAGGCAACCAACTTATATTGAGGAAAAGTTTATTTTGGCTCAGAGTTTTAGAAGTTTCAGTCCACAGTCAGATGCTTTGGGGACTGCAGTGGGCAGAACATCATGGCAGGGAGCGTGGGGCTGGTAGAGCAGAGCTGCCCACCTCATGGCTATACCCAAAAGAAAGAGGAGGAAGGAGCAGATTCCTGCTGTTCCCTTCTGTCCACGACAGCCTAACTTCCTCCTCCCAGAGGTTCCAGTACTTCCCAATGGGACCATGGCCTGGAGTCCAAACTTTGGGGCCTTTGGGGACCATTCCAGATCCAAACTAGAGTAGCCACCCAGGACTTCCTTCCATGTTGAAACATTCATGCACTGCCCAGTGGCCACTCCATCCTGACTGTCTCTGGCACTGTCCCTTCCTTGTTCCTGGGGAGTCCCACTGGGGCAGAAGCACCCTGAACTTGGGGGTGGGCTTTCCCAGAGCCCTTGTGCCTACACCCAGCTCACCCGAGGCTATCTGTGGGCCTTCGGCAGACTGTGGTCAGATGCATCAGACTGAGCCCAGTTCAGCCCCAGAACAGGGACTGCTGAGTGCCTGCCCAAGGCATCAGGGCAGCCCCTGCTCCAGGGCCTGGTGGTGGATGCATAGGCCACACTCTGCAGGCAAAGTGACTGTCTGAGGACACACAGCAGCCGAGACCACCACCATCTCTCCCTGAGGGTCCCCAAAAGGTAGCAAAGGTCCCTTCAACATGCAGTTATCAGAGAGGAGGGACCCTGGAGTCATAAGCCCATGGGCAAACACTGGCCAAAGAAAGGGACCCATGCACTACACAGCTAGAGGAGAAAGGGCCACTCAAGGAGTCGGCGAGGACCCGTGTCCCTCTGGCCTCAGTGCTCTCCTGGCGAGGAGTCCACAGCCATTAGGTCCCTGTTCTGAGTGTTTTCCTTGCTTTGCACCACCTTGCAGTCTTGGATTTCTGACTCCCACATAGTGCAGAAGTAGCCACCAGGAGGCACACAGCCTTTCCCAGAATCTCAGCACTGGGCTGTGAGGAAGTTCACGTTCACTCATGGTCTCCTTTTACAACCAGGGCCTTGGGAGGACCCCCATGTCCCCAGCGCCAGCCCCAAGCCTGAGCCAGCCACAGAGGCCACCACCCTGGTCCTGATGTTGGGTGGTGATGTCCGCCCTTCAACGGGAAGGAATCAGAAACTCAAGGAGCAGGGTTTCGTGGGGGACAGCGGCCTGGCTGTCCTCCTGGGCCACGCAGCTGTGCATGGGACAGGCAGGGTCCTTGTGATGCCGTCAAGAAGGGCGACGGTGTGTCTCTGACGCTCCCACTAAAGAAAAATGTGCCACAAGTCAAGTGTAGTCCCCCTCGGTGACAGGGGCTCCCGTGGACCTGGGAGCAGCGGGCAGAGGACTGAAAGTTGAGCCACCCCCAGGGCACCCCAGGGACCCTGTGCTGACCAGCAGAGGACGTGTTGCCGGGCAGGTCACCTTCAGTGTCACAGCCTTTCTCCCTCTGTCCCTGAGACCTGAGCCGGCCCAGGAGGTCACCAGGATGGGATGGAGAGGAGACTCTGTGTGTACCAGGCCAGGCGCTATTCCCAGGAGAGGCCACCACTAATGGTGACTCTTGGGACTTCAGAACTCTTGGAACTGCTAGGACTCCTTTCATTTCGCAGTTGGTCCTCCTGCATCTGGAGGGACGTTCTTAGGGAGACACTTCGTTCCATCTGCTATGATGAAATCTCCTGTGTGTTTGTTCGTGTTTTGTTTTGCTGCTGTTTTTGTAGTACAGGGGATTGAACCCAGGTCCTAAGTTGTTCAGACCCCACATACTTGGTACCTCTGTAAAGAGGAATCAGCTACAACCCTTTGGCCATGCTCTGTGAGGCAGCTGACTGACTTTTCTCCTCAGTCTCCCCTCCATTTCTGTATGTGATGCCATCTTTGCCTCTCTCTCCCTCCCTCTCTCCAGGCCCTCATGTTCTTGAGGATACAGGGAAACCAGCTGGTGGCCCTGCCTCCTCCAGAGAAGTGGACCTGCAGACAGCTCAAAACCCTGGACCTCTCCAGAAACCAATTTGGCAAGTAAGAAGGGGTTGTGTGTCCCTAAGTGTGTCAGACCACAGTGGACAGGCCCGGGAGATGTTCTAGTGTCCATGCCGGGCCCACAGGACCACGGGCTGGGGGTTCACCCAGCAGAACTAGCTGCTTACAGTGCTGGGGCTGCAAATCCGAGGTCAGGGTGTCAGCAGGCCTGGTTTCTCCTGTGACCTCTCCCTTGGCTTGGAGATATCTTCTCCACATGTCTCTCAGAGTCTCCCTCTGTGTGGGTCAGTGGATGAATTTCCTCTTCGTATAAGGACGCCAGTCACATTGGATTACAGCCCACTCACCTCTTTAAAGACCCTACTTCGGTACATGTTGGGTTTCCTTCATCCGAAATGCTTGGTGCCAGGAGTGTTTGGACTGGGAATATTTTCATTTACATCCTGCGACATCTTGGGGAGGGCACCTGAGTCTAACACAAATGCATTTATGTTTTACATGCACCTTATAGACATAGCCTGAGGGTTGCTTACCTGGTATGTTCAGTGTGCCTGTGCTTTGACTGGGACCCTTCACACGAGGTCAGGTGTGGAACTTTCCACTGTGGTACTTACAGAAGTAGGATTTCGGAGCAGTTTTGGATCTCAGACTTCTGGATTAGAGATGCTCAACTTTCATCTCCAAGTACAGCCTCGTCCTCAGATCCTGAGGGTTAGGACTTCAACAAACGAAATCTGGGGGACACAATTCAGCCCATGACAGTGAGCTTTGGTATCTAATTTTTAAAGGCTGCTGAACACTCTTGCCTCTCACTTTAGCTGAAACTAAAATTCTGTACAAAAGTCTTTGCCAGTCACTAGCTAACGTGGGTGTAGACTGACTGAAAAGAACCCACCCAAAGCCTTCCAGGAAAGGCTGAAAGGGTGGAGAGGAGACAGGCCCAGTGGTCATCCAGCAGGGAGACCCGCCCCAGGTCATTTGCTGAAGGTCGATGCTGCCACGGCATCTCAGCAGAAAGACACCCAGAGGGAGTTTCCTTTGGGGTGGTGCTCGGGGAGCAGCAGCCGCTGGAATGCGCTGGGCACAGAAACCCTGGCACCTGCTGGAGTGGAACAGCCTGAGAATGGGAACCAGCAGTCAAGCCCACGTTAGCTCATCCTTTCTAAAATGCTTTTCCCAAAAGGACCCTGTGCTCTCCCTGCTTCATATAAGCTGCAGAGCCACAAACACCTGCTTCGGGAATTGCCTGCCTTCTCCAAGGCTCCGTGTTATATAGTCTCAGCCCACGTTTTACTGTCTTTGTCATGCTGTTCTCAGATGTTGGCTCTTTTCTCCCTACAGAAGTGAAGATGGACTTAAAACAAAGCGCATTTCCTTTTTCACCACCAGAGGCCGCCAGCGTTCAGGGTCAGAGCCAGGTGTGTGCGGGCGTGGAGTCCCCTTCGGTGCCCTGTTGGAGTGCCAGAGGTGGCCGGGGTTGGCTGAGAAATGCAAAAGTGCACGGTCTATTACTCAGGTCACGCGTGTGTGTGCCGTGCCCATGTCCCAAGGCTCTGGTTTCCAGTTTGGAGTCCGGGGATGCTGGTAGCAGCGGCCACTTCCAAGTTGGAATCTAATCCTCACAGCATGAGGTGTGGACTGCAGCGCCTCATTCTGCTCAGGAGGAAATGGAGGCGTCCAGGGTATGTTAGGCCGTTCAGGCTGCCGTCACAGAAGGCCACGGATGGGGCAGCTTCACAGCTCCCATCGACTGTCTCACTGTGCTGAAGGCGCCAGCATGGCTGGGTTCTGGTAAACCGGGGAGGATGGCTGCCAGCTCAGTGTCCTCACATGCTGGAGAGACAAGAGCTCTGGACTCTTCTGCCTCTGTAAGGATGTCTATCAGCCCGAGGGCCCACCCTCAAGACCTCAAGGGTCTAAACCTAATTGCTTCCCAAAGGCCCAGCCTCCAGATATCACCACGCTGGGGGTTAGGCCCCCACATTTGCATTTGGGGGGACACACTTCTGCCTGTAGCGCAGAGGTTGACTGATTTGTCCTAGGTCGTGTGGCAGAGCTGGGTTTCCACTCAGGACCCTGGGGCTCCAGCCCCATGCTGCTAAGTCCTCCCTGCCATGCTGTAACGTTTTGCAGTGTCCACAAGGGGTCGGAGCCATGCTAGGCCCCATGGGCCGAGGCTGGTCTGAGGTTGCAGAAGGGCCTGCGGTCTCCCTAGTTCGCCAGAAACAGAACTTTTCTAGAGTTTTTGTTCCAATCACACAGCCAGCAGCTCAGCATAGGATATTTCTAGGGAAAGAAGTTCTTTGTCTGTTATCTTTCATGAGGTGCAGGGGAAGGCATGGACCTGTCCCTCACAGCAGACTGCCGGTTCACCTTTTTAACCTCAAAGAACACTTCTTTCTTTGTCTTTTTGATATGTTTTTATCTTTAACTGATACATAGTAATTGTACATACTTACAGGATACAGTTGACGTTTCAATACTGCAATCAGATCCAGGCAGTTGGCATTTCTGTCACCTCATGTATCTGGCAGTTTTGAAATATACATTCAGTTGTTGGCAGCCATAATTCTGCTACTGCAGAATTATGTTGAAGACATCGTTCTTCACATCCAACTGCACCCCTGTTCCCCTAACCATGCTCTGTCCATCCCATGCCCTTCCTGGGCTCTGCTAGCCACTGTTCTCTTCTCTGTTTCTATGGGATTGACATTTTGGTCAAAGCTCAGACTTCTGAACCCAGCTACATTCACAGGATTACCTGTCGGGATACTGTTCCATAAAAATTCAGGTCGTGTTAGGTGAGTCATAGCTTTCTTCTTTGGCACAGTGGATTGATGTTGGAAAATACAGGTGGTGAGAGAGGGATGAGAAATGTAGCGGAGGCCAGGACACGTCTGCAGGAGGAGAACTAGACTGTCCATCCACCTGTCACGCTTTTGGGTGGACTGATGTGTGTGTGCATACAGATTGGTCATACATGACTGTCTGGTTGTACATGACTGGAAAAGTAACAGCCTGTTGGTGGAATAGACAGGAGAATCCAAAACTAAGCCTAAGTAAATACAGCCAGTTGTCTGTGTCTGCAGATTCTATAGCTACAGATTCAGCCAACCTTGGATTGAAAACATTAACAAAAAATTGCATCTGTGCTGAACATGTACAGGCTTTCCCCTTGTCATTGTCCCCTAAGCAAACAGTAGAACAGTTATTTGCATAGCATGTACATTGTATTAGGCATTATAAGTCATCTGAAGTACGTGAGAGGGTGTATATAAGTTCAGTGCAAATACTTTGCCATTTTGTATGGGCCTTGAGCATCCATGGATTTTTATATCTGTGGGGAGCTCTGTGGATACTGAGGGACAGCTGTATAGGAATTTAATACTGTACAACAAAGCTGGCATCGCAGTTTAGTAGGAAAGAATGTTTTATTGTTTTAATGGTATTGGTATAATTGAGTATCTAGCTACCAGAGGAAACATACAATCAGAACATCAACCACAAAAGTTTCTGTGTGAGCCAGGCATGGTGATGAACACCTGTAATCCCAGGACTCTGGGAAGCTGAGACAGGAGGATCTCATTCACACCCAGGATGAGCAACACAAAATAAAAAATTTAAAAGGGTAGAGATGTAGCTTAGTGTAAAGATCCTGGATTTGATTCCTATAGCTTAAAAAAAAGTTTTCATGTAGATAGCAGGTTTAAGTGAAAAGAAAAAATAACACTTAAGAAAATATATGTGTATAGTTTGAGGAAGAGGAAGACCTTTTCAAGCCAGCCAGGAGTAGCACACACCTGTAATCCCAGCACTTGGAAGGCTGAGGCAGGAGGATCTCTGTGAGTTCAAGGCCAGTCTGAACTACATAGCGAGACTCTGTCTCAAATTTTTTTTAAAAAAAAAAGCTAGCTGGGAAATCCAGAAACCATTTTTTAAAAAGAGAAGAATCTTTGACTCTGTCAGAATTGAAAAGTTTTGTTCAATAAAATGAATTATAAACAAAGTCATCAGGCAAAGAAGAAATGTTTGCAGCAAGAATTGCTGCAACACAAATTGGCGCGAGTCCTTAACGTACAAAGAATGCTTACAAATTGATTTTTTTAAAAGAAAAAAGGCAACTCAATAGGTTAAAAAAAATGAGCAACAGGTATAAACAGTTTGCAGGAAAGGAAGTCTGGACAACCAGGAGCTAGAGGAGAAGACCCTTAGCACATTAATAAGGAAATACAAGTGTGATTTTATAACTGGACCTGTCTTAATGAAGGGCCTTAGGGCTGTAGAATCTGAGTGCAGATGTAGGGATTTCTCTTGGAAGAGAGGAGAGACAAGCCCCATCGTCTCACTGGTGCCAAATGGGATGGAAGGCATGAGAGGGGGGTTGGGGTGCATCGTGGTCACACAGAGCCACTTGCGGGTGGGCTGAGCTTTATGCTGGAATATGCCCCCAGTGTAGAAATCAGACCCCTTCCTGGCACCATGGAGGGGCCCTCACTCAGAGGACCAGCCATGGACAAGAGGGTCAAGGTACTCGGTGAAGCACAGCATAGGAACAGGCACCCAGGTGCCGGGCAGTGGCTTTGCTGGTGTCCCGAGGAGCAGGTCTGGAGAGCCAGGGAAGGAGTCCACCCCCTTGGAGGGTTCCCTGGCAGAGGTGTGTGGTGGCTTGGGCTTCTTGATGCTTTCAGTTTCATCTAGAAAGGTGAGAAGAAGGCAGGAGTTGGGGGTGTGAACCTGCAAACTTTACCTAAGTAGGCCCCGAGGCAAAGAATTGTCTGTAACAGACAACTTGTTTGCAGATGGAGAGTAAAATTCTAGAATGATTTATGTAAATTCAGGTGGTCATATTTGTGTCGTGGCCTTGTCCAAAAATAACTTGGATGGCCATTTTTAGGGTAGAATTCAAACCAGCAGAGTCATAAATAACTTAGGAGTAAATAACTACAGTTCATAAATACCTCAAGCTGTGTTCTTCCCGGCCCAGTTTCCGTCATTTTTGACTAGGCTGGGTGTATGTGACAGATGTTGCCTCTCTCTGGAGCAGTAGCTCCTTCTTCACTCACCCATCACTTGAAGAAGCTTCATAAACACCAGGGTGAAACCCTCAGCTTGGAAAACCCTCAGACCAGGTGTTTAGAATGCTCCCTTTCTCTGGGAAGAGAGCAAACTTTTCTGTGATGGATGTTCTTTCATGAAAGATGTGATGTGGGGCAGGCTAACATGGATCATCCCTCTTCACTGAAGGAAGAAAAGAAACCTTTTTGAACTGAATCTGCATCTGTACTGAACACATACAGGGTTTCCCGCCTTGTCATTGTCCCCTAAGCAAATGCTGTAGAACAACTATCTACCTTTTTAGCACAGGGTCTAGTAGCCATCTTTAAAAGTCTGCTGCCTTGGGCCGGGGATTTAGCTTAGTGGTTCCTGTCTCACAAGCACAAGATCCTGAGTTTGATCCCTGGTACCAAAAAAAAGTCCGCTGCTAGTTTACTTCCACAGGAGCCCCTGCAGTGAGTCCCCTTCACACTGCTGCTAGCTGTTTTCTAGGTATCCATCTTGGTATTCCACTGTGGTCTCTCCTAGGATGTTCTCTGAGGCCTGGTTACCCCACTGCTGTTGATACTGTTGCTCCTGTGTGGAGCAAAGGCAGAGATGAGAGGCAGTTCTAATCAAGGGGAACCAAACATGGTTTCAACCCAACAAGAGAATCCTGGCTTTTGTATCTTCCTTCTCTGGCAGGGGACCAGAGAGGACTTTGAGGCATTCCTTTTATCTTGAATTCCCTGAGCTCCAGGGTGTGCCCTCCCATGCACTCTCCCTGCCTCTGAAGGCCCTTCAGAGATTCTGCTGAAATCTAAACCTCTGATTCGATTTAGTGTGCATTTCCAAGCCCTCAGCCACATTCTTTCTCGACACAAATGCCCGTGCCTCGGAAACAGCAGATTTGACAAGCTTTTCATGGTGATCTGATAATTAGCTTAATTAATGAAGTCATTTGAATACTAAATAGTCAGCTGGATTTTCAGTGCTATCTTAGGCACCATAAAGACTTAGCCCACAGTATTGTTTTTCTAATTAACTAGCCTCTTTTCATTGAAGGAAGTAATCCATGTATATATGAAAACAAAACTATCAAACAGCGCTGAAGGCCGTGGGATGAATGTACAATCCTGTAGTTAAGACCCTTCTCCAGAGACCGTGATGGAATTCCTGTGGCTAACAATTGTTTCTTTGTCTAGCACACATCTGTAATGCATACAGGTGCATGTGTACATTGTGTGTGTGTGTGCAGGCATATGACACGTGTGTACATGCAGGTCTGCAGACATTTTCTGTTATGCTAATAAACCTAGAAGCCTGATTCGATACATTGCATTTTCATTTCATCAGTAGCTTTTGAGTGTCCCTTCACACCCATACATGTGACCTACCCCATTGGAAAATGGGATCTGGCCCTTTGAAAAAATTGTGCCTGGCCCCTGGACCTGTGGTTGTCCTCTCTCTTTGCTATTGCAAGCAGTGAGCCTTCGAGCGTCCTCATTATCACATCTTTGCCACACGTGCATGCAAGGATGTCTGTAGAACTGGAATTACTAGGTCGGTGAGATGAGCTTTGAATTCTGATATGACTGCCAGAACACCCTCTGGAGGTTCCACCAGTTTATACAGCCACTTGCTGTCCATGTCTGATGGTCTAGAATCATTTAAAAATATGCAGTGATGTGCTTTGCCATTTATTTCCAGGGTGCGTGCTGGAATTTCCAACCTTCTTGAGTGAGTCTTTAGAAGTCCTGTGTCTGAATGACAATCACCTGGATGCAGTCCCGCCCTCGGTTTGCCTGCTGAAGAGCTTATCGGAGCTCTACTTGGGAAAGTAAGCCATGGCAAGAGCAGGTGCCTGGTCCTGCCTGCCAAGTGAGGCCGGATGACCTCCTTCCTTAGGTCACCTGGGGACACAGAAGGTGGGCAGAAAGAAGCCATCTACTTACCAGAGCCAGTAGTGAGATTTTCAGACTGGGAATGGTCTGAAGCAGGTGGAGGGGAGAGGGGTGATGCTCGCTTTGCTTCTTTGTGCATGCTGTAATGAGAGGACCACTCACTCCTCCACCCTTCCATTTACTGAGCACCCACCACCTGCCAGGTACTTCAGGGCTGGAGGCAGTGTGCAAAACTTGATGAGAATATAAACTATCATGGTAATCCATTTTTATTCTGGTACCAAGGACTGAACACAGGACCTTTGCACTGAGCTACATTTCCAGCCCTTTATTATTTCAAGACAGGATCTGCCTAAATTGCTGAGTTGCCCAGGCTAGTCTCATGCTTGTGATCCTCCTGCTTCAGCCTCCCATGCACCACCAGACCCGACTTTATGTTCATCTTAAAGACACTCTGCCTCTTCATGAGGAGGCCATGGTCATCCTGATGGTAGTGCAGCTGGTAAAAGAGATGAGGAGATTTAGGGAGGGGACTCGGTTCTAAGCCATGGAGACTTGCAAGGCAGAACTGTCATTTGTACCACTGATGATCCAGGGAGAAAGGGAGAAGGTGTTGGGCTTAGTGTTTAAATGGGACATTGAAATCAGGCTCCAAGGTGTGGGGCTGGGGTGGAGGCCAACAGCAGGCCTTGCAGTCCCCAGAGGCTGATGGGAGCTATGTGTGTGTGTGTGTACATATGTGTGTGTACGTGTGTGCACCCCAGCAACCCTGGCCTCCGAGAGCTCCCTTCTGAGCTGGGGCAGCTGAGCAACCTCTGGCAGCTGGACGTGGAAGACTTGAGCATCAGCAACGTGCCTGCGGAGATCAGGAAAGAAGGTAGGGCTCTGGACCTGGGCCTCTCCTTGGGAAAGTAACTCAGATCCACCTGCCAGGCTCTAGGGTGACCCATGGGGCCCAGCGTCATGAGGTTGGAAAGTGGCTGTGAAGTTGTCCCCAGAGCAGTAGTTACCAAGGTGGTAAAAGTACCTGTCTTCACTTTCATACTTCACTTCTGGGCCGATTGGGATCTTGGCCTCCCTCCACAGATCAGGCCATCTTCCTTAGCTGTCCACTTAGAACACATAGGAGGCAACCCTTTGCAGCAGGGGTTGGCCTCCTGAGAGACGTGAGCGTGGGCCCCTGTGTCCCTTAGCAGCGGCCTCCACTCCCCCTTTGTGATTCGCACAGGCCCCAAAGCAATGCTGTCTTTCCTGCGGGCTCAGCTGCGGAGAGCAGAGAAGTGCAAGGTGATGAAGATGATCGTCGTGGGTCCCCCGCGCCAGGGCAAGTCCACCCTCCTGGAGATCTTGCAGAGCGGCAGGGCCTCCCAGGTGGCGCACAGCGAGGCCACCATCCGGACGACCAAGTGGGAGCTCCAGAGGCCGGCAGGCTCCAAAGCCAAGGTCAAGGGTGGTCAGCAGGCAGAGCCCCTGGGAGGGAGGAACTTTCCTGGGGGCCTTCTCCTTCTCCCCTGAGAGCCCAGGGTCTTCTCCACCTCTTGTCCAAAGTCCTGGATGTTTGCGGGGGCGGCTGTGTGCTGTGTCTTGTTCCATCCCAGCTCCTGCCAAGGACAGCAGATCTACTCTTTACACGACGTTGTAGTTTTTCTATGGTAATTAAGCTGAGGCTGTGAGCCAGGGGCTCCTAACCCGGGCTTTCTATGAGATTCCCCGGGGGGGGGGGGCTTTAAAAGACAGCAGTGCTTGGACCTCACCACCCCCTGGCCCCAAAGACTCGGACAAATGGTCTGGGGTGCTCCCCCCACCAAGGGCTGAGAACAAAGTACGCCCCAGAATCTGCCTGTCCCCTAGCAAGAAGGCTCAGAAAGCATCGCTGGAATTATTGCTCTGTCCTCCCTGGTTCTGCTTTCACCCCAAGGTCCAAGGACTCCATGCCTCACCCTCTTGTCCATTTAGTACCCAGCAAATGGAAATGGGCATTTTCTTGCTCTGTAAGCAGAGGCGAGTCTGGAGTTCAGGGGCTCTCCACCCCGGATGTGGCATGGGGTGGTTAGGAAGATGCACAGACAGTGCCATCCTTGTCTGCCACATTTGTGTTACTGCTGCCTGTGGTGACTCCAGGGTCCTGGGTCCAAGGAGGAGGTCAGTGTAGGGGCCACCAAGGGGCCTTGTTGACATGCAGCATGATTTTTTCCATAGTCCCCAAGCACAGTGAAAGCTAAGGGGTAGGTTTCTCTGCTGATTTTTCACACAAAACCACTTTCCAAATCAGGAAAATGCAGTTCAAGAAACGAACTGAATTGTATTCTAGTACCAGGGAACTCAGAAACTGGTCCTCTTAAAGTGGAGCACTTGGGGTCGGGGTGCTGCTCAGCAGCAGAGCAGGGCTTAGCATGGGCGAGGCCCTGACCGCTGTCTCCAACATAAAAACAAACAAAATGGAGCCCTGTGTGTTACAGTCAGAACAATTAGATAAGTAGTACCAGGCCCACCCAGAACACCCCGACAGGGAATCTAGCTGACTCACGTCCGAAGGTTCTCTAAATAACCAGAATCTTCTGCACATGCTCTGGCTTCGCTTTTTAACCAGTGACTCAGTCTCATTTTCTTCCAGCTGTTTTTTCACGAATGGTTTTCTGAGGCCTGAGGGGTGAGATCGCATTTCTATTTTTCCTATGCACGTCCTGCCTGCCATTACAAAATCCCCCCTCCCATAACCGAGGGATGGCCAGCCCGTCCTGTGGCTGCTGAGCCCCAAAACTCTCCGTGTGGCTGACCTTTCACCAGTTGAGCACAGCTGTCTGCTTTCATCTTTACACTGAGCCAGGTCAGCTCGCTGTCTGTGTCATGGAGGCCCCAGTGCTGCATCGTGGAAGTGACTCCTCCTTGCTCTGCCAGCTGCGGCCTTAGTGCTCAGGCCAGCTGTGACCTAATAGGATGACAGAGAAACCGCCGTTTACACAGCTTTCCCAGCAGCCCAGCAGTTCCTCTGTTATTTGCTTCCCACATCAGGGGAGTTTCCCATCCTCCTTGGTGGGCGCAGCCCTCTGACCTACATGAGTTCAGAGACAGCCCCTGAGTCCCGCCTTCCCACAGGAGGAGGTTAATGGTGGTGGTGCAGCCATTGTCTCCTGACCGAGCACAGTGCTCTTCAGTACACCCCAGGTCTCCTCTCCAGGAAGCCAGTTAGCAGGAGCTAGACGCCCCCGGAAGTCCACCCTGGTGCCACGGGGCCCCTGCCCCTCTCTGGATTACTGATCTCCAGGAGACACATCGGGCTGTCCCTGACTTCTCCGTGGCCACATCTCCTTCACAGCCCCAAGCACAGCATTTGAAGTTGATCAGTTTTCTCAGCTCGGTCTACTAAAACCTTGATCTCTAAAATGCCTCCCTGTCCTGCCTTGTTGCTCAAGTAGGTTGAGTCCGTGGAATTCAACGTGTGGGACATCGGGGGCCCTGCCAGCATGGCCACCGTCAACCAGTGCTTCTTCACGGACAAGGCCCTGTACGTGGTGGTCTGGAACCTGGCGCTGGGAGAGGAGGCTCTGGCCAGCCTGCAGTTCTGGCTGCTCAGCATCGAGGTGAGAGGCACCGGCTCTTCCCTTCTTTCCTCAGTCCCCAGAGCATCACAGGGGTCCTCACCACTGCTCCAGGAGCCCCCTGTACTGAGAAAAAGGGGATCGTGTCAGGGAGAAATGCTATGCATTTTGAGGGGCTTTCACAGAGCACCTCAGAATCATGGTCTTACCTGACTTTCGCAGTGGAGCTCTCAGACTCCTTTCCAGCCTGAGGATTGGGGTGCCCTTGTAATTTTCTTACTTTAAATTTAGGGACACCCCCCCACACCACACACACACCCTGGGTGCCAAAGGGGGTATCATGGACCCCTGGTCTCAGGTTGGCAGGGAATTTCTGAAAGCTTCAGATACCTTCCCTGTGTCTGAACTAGCACCCCCTGCATGGAGGAAGTTGAGGAGAACCCCCAAACCTCCTAAGTGCATAGCAGGCCCTTGAGATGGCAGGCTGCAGCATGGTGACTGAGCATCCAACCCTGGAATACCTGCACCCCTTGGAAGTGTTTCCTGACCCTTATTCACTGGATGAGGACAGGGCTCAGCTGTGGGGTTTTCTGTCGCAGGCCAAGGCCCCCAATGCAGTGGTGCTGGTGGTCGGAACACACCTGGACTTAATTGAAGCCAAATTCCGAGTAGAGAGAATTGCAACTCTTCGCGCCTACGTGCTGGCCCTGTGCCGCTCACCCTCGGGGTCCAGAGCCACTGGCTTCCCGGACATCACTTTCAAACACTTACAGTGAGTCCTCCTGTTCATGCCAGCCTCTGTGTGCTCGCTGGCCACTGAGTTGTCCATGTTGCCTGGGATCTGCTTGCACAGGGCTCCTGAGGCTGGCTGGGCACCTCTGGGTGGAGAGCGAGGCCCTAGGCAGGGCATGGCCCACCAGGCACCTGCCTCTCTGGGTCCTCTCACCAGCACCGTGGCCAGTGCCATGGGACTAAGAGTTGGGAACTCGGGCACTACCATCCCTCTCACAGGTCAGCAGAGGACAGGGGAGTCATGTTGACCCCAGGGGCCCCCGAGGCTGTTGAATCTGGAAGGAGATGGTCTGGGGAGGGGCCTGTAGAGTGGGGAAGGATGAGCCACCTGGGCTTGTCACTCCACTCACCTTCTGTCTTGGAATCTCACCACAGCATGCAGGTTATAGGGGCTGTTGTACCCACTTTGCAGACAGTGAAACTAAGGCTCCATAAATTAAGCAGGTGGTCTGATGAGAACAGAGAGGGCATTGCTGCCGCTGCACGGTGGCTCTCTGGTTCCTCTCTCTGGACATAGTGCCTTGGATGCCGATTTGGGAGCCAGCCTGAGGCCTGTCACCTGGCTCAGCATGCAGAAGCAGGCTTGGCTGTTCCTGCTATGCCCTGAGGACACCTGAGGGTCTGTGGTAATAGCACTGACTCCAACCCAGAGCCCTGGGTCCAGCCTGAGTTTGCTGCTTCCCAGCTAGTATCCTTGGAGGTTACCTTGTACCTCAGTGCTTCACTTTCCTCCTCCTAAAATGGCCATGTTGGGGAGACAGACCAACGCAAATGTCTTGGGCACCCAGCACCAGCTCTGCACTGAGAAAGGCATCCATAAACCCCTATGCCTTCTCTCCTGAGCCCCCCACATTTCCCAGTGTGGAGGACAAACCTCGGGCAAACAGAGGCCACCGCGGGCCCCTGCAGAGCACATGACTAAGCGCGCATCTTTCTGTACATGCAGTGAGATCTCCTGCAAGAGCCTAGAAGGCCAGGAGGGGCTACGGCAGCTGATCTTCCATGTCACATGCAACATGAAGGACGTGGGCAGCACCATCGGCTGCCAGCGGCTTGCGGGGAGGCTGGTGCGTACGCCGAGGAGTCTGCTTCCCACTGTCGAGAGCTGCGCTCCCCTTTTGCTGTGCTGTGAAACACATGTCTATGTCTAAGGGTCCAAAGTTCCAAGTAGGACTGGGGAAGGATGGATGGATGGTGGGACCGAGGGGCCTCAGTTCAGACCAGGGGCCGGGATGGGGTTGTCTGAGCTGGCTCCATGCCTTGGGCCTGAGGGACCCAGCCAAGGCCACCTGTCCCCAGATCCCCAGGAGCTACCTGAGCCTGCAGGAGGCCGTGCTGGCAGAGCAGCACCGCCGCAGCCAGGGAGACGACGTGCAATACCTGACGGACAGGCAGCTGGAGCAGCTGGTGGGGCAGACGCCCGGCAACGACATCAAAGACTACGAGGACCTGCAGTCTGGTAGGCCTGGGGGTGGCCATGCAATGGGCACTGCGCGGGGGACCCTGGAAGGCTGGGCAGAGCCAGAGTCCCTGGGCAGGGGGCCGTGGGCACCCATGGAAAAGAGCCTTCTACCCTTGAGAGCTGTAGTCTGACTCCGAACACGGGTGACAGGTTCTGAGTGAAGCCCAGAGCCCTGCCTGTGTTCTGCCTTCTTTTCTCCTTTCCTTGGTTTCTCCTGCCTTTGTTCCTGCCTGTCCTTTCCCTGGGCAGAGAGAACACACACAGATCTACAGCAGCCTCTGGGTGGGTACTGAGGGCAGACAGAGGCTAAACAACTACTGCTCACCCGCATTATTCACGGCAGCTGTGGTCACAGCCACTGAGTTAGTGGATGGTAAACCACAGGGAAGTGCAGGGTCAGGTCCCTTTGAACCTCTGGACACAGCAGTTTCATCAGCTGATCAGAACTTAACCTTGTATTATGCATACAGAGAGGCTTCTTCTTCTTTTTCCTCTCCTTCTCCTTTTCTTTTGTAGTACTGAGAGTTGAACCCACAGTCTCTGCCCTGAGCTACATCCCCAGAGCTTTTTGAGACAGAATCTTGCTAAATCACAAAGCTGCCCAAGCTGCTCTCAAACTTGGAATCCTCCTGCCCCAGCCTCCCACAATGCTGAGATTACAGGCGAGAACCACTTATTTAACATATGTGGTTGATTTGTTAACACAGAACTTGCAGCCAACAGCGCCTGTAACCTGTGCCTGAACAGTGTTTATCTAACACAAGTGTTTTCTCAGGAAAGCGCATCACAATCTTCTCAAGCTTAGGAACCCCACACAGTGCTTTGGCACTATGCTGAAGGGTTGTTGGAAACAGGGAAATCACTAAAAGGCTTAACATTTTTTAAAAATATGGCACTAAATGGATCACTAAAGAGACACTCATTCATAGGAAGAGCGCTGTGGCGAGGAGGCGGAACATTGCCTTGTTCACCTCAGTCATAAACGTGCTCACCTGCGAGTTCTTTCACAGCTGTGCACGCATCTGCCAATGACTGACAAAGCACTGCGTATTTTATTTTAGGGCCTCGGGTCCATTTTGGCAGGTAGAACAATTTGCAGAGATGGAATTCTAGAAAAAAAAGGAATGGCCTGTAGTTGCCCATTAGCTCCCAGCGCGGGGTGTTGGTGGGAGTGCAGGGTCCTCTGGGGTACCCGAGCTCCGGCTGCCCACCCACCTGAGGGATCCAGCAGCTCAGGGGAGCCAGTTTCTTCCTGGGAAGAGTGAGCGACCAGACCCCTTGGGAACAGGGTCACCGCAGAGTCCCTTTTGCCCTCTCCAGCTAACACTGCTCCCCTCTGGCCCTGGCAGCCATCAACTTCCTCATAGAAACTGGGACGCTCCTGCACTTCCCCGACACCAGCCACGGCCTGCGGAACCTTTACTTCCTCGACCCCATTTGGCTGTCCGAGTGTCTGCAGAGGATCTTCAACATTAAGGGCTCTCGCTCGGTAGCCAAGAACGGGGTGATCCGAGCGGAGGACCTCAGGATGCTGCTGGTGGGGACAGGCTTCACAAAGCAGACTGAGGAGCAGTACTTCCAGTTCCTGGCCAAGTTTGAGATCGCCCTGCCTGTCGCCAATGACAGGTAAAGCCACAGCCCGGCTGTGCTGGTGGCCCCTGGAAGAAGGTTGCAGTCTGGGACCACTGGTGCCCTGAACAAATTTCCAGGGGTCTTGGTGTCCCTCTCACCACCCCAACACCAGGTGCTGTCCTGCTGCCGGCCTGGGGTGGCAGAATGGTCCCTCCGGTGCCCTGGACTTCTCTTTCCAGGCAGTTGGAAGAAATCTATTTTTTGAAAAGGTTTGGGGAAACCTGTAAGAATGGCATTTAAAACATTTCCGGGGGTTCATCTTGGAGAGGGTTGCTGGCTCGGATATACAGTGAATGAAAATAGGGTACGTAGTGAGGGTGCTGAAGGCAGAACCTGGCTTCCAGACGCAGCCCGTGTGGTTACATGACAGGAACAGCACTGTCACCACGTGGAGCGGGTGATTGTGCATGTCCTGGGGGCGGTCAGAGACCTCTGCACAGTGGCGAATCATCACCTCCTTCTGTGGACGCTTCCCGGGCCTGTGATTTTCCAGATCTCCCCAGTCCTGCCCTTCCTTCTCAGCAGTGGGACCCCCGAGAAACCAGGCATGGGGGAGCATGTGGAAGTTAGACCCCTGGAGGCTGCCCAGTGCTGGGAAGTGCTCCCCTAAGCCAGCTCCGTACTCAAGGCCTGCTTGTCCTCCTTTGTTTCATCCGATAGCTGGGTTTGATGCTGGCATTGACCAGGGAGGGAGCAGCTGATACTCCAAGCCCTCAAACCTTTGTTATGCATTTGCCAAAGGCCACCTTGCCTTCCTGCTCCCTGACTGCAGAGCCCCGCAGGGATGAGGGACGCCCACTGGAAAGTGCGAGCACCTGGTCTGGACCTTGTGTTCCCAGCCCAGAGGTTCTGTTGGGTGGACTCAGCCTCCTGGGAGCCAGCGGCAAGACGCTGAGGCCCTTCTGCCTGGGGCCCCACTTGGCCTTGGGGGACCAGGGCGGGGTGGGGGGGCTCGTATCCTTGCTCCCCTGATTTCATGGGAGCCATGAGCAGGGTCCTAAAAAGAGAAGCGTCCTCCACAGAGAAGAATTCATCACCCTTTGGCCCTTCATCCCATGCCCAGGGGCATCCTTGGCTTTGGTTCACAAAAAAGTTCAAGATTCAGGAGCCTAATCTGACAAAGCCAAGATCTACCGATTTTCTGGTTACTTTATCAATGGATTAGAGGAATGAGGAGATGTTGGCATTCAGTAAAGCAAACCAGTTGTCTGTGTGCTAATGCAGAATATTGATACATCGGTACCTATCTCTTTTTGTCTGGGTATTTTGCTGGGTGATAAAGTCAGCCAGCATACTGCCAAGTGCTCAGGGCGGCTCACTGTGCAGTGGGTTAGAACACAGCACCAGACTGCTGGGCATCTTTCTCCTTCTCCATTGTTACCAACTAGTATTATAGTTGTTGTGGGGATGAAATTAGGTAATACATATAAGGTACTTAGAACTGTGTCTCTCACACCTAAGAGCTCCACGGGCATCCAGTGTCTGCAGGCGGCACAGTCGCTGCAGAGTCTGGTTCTACACAAAGCCATGAAGAGCACAGCATTTTCCATCCCAGCCCACGATGGCTCCCTTGTGCCTAGGCGAGTTCCAGCTTCTTGCACCATGAGCTTTTGTAAGGTCCACACTCCCGTCTCTGACTCAAGGCAGACGGACCCGGGGACTGTGCCATTCCGTGGGTGCTGGGTCCTCCACCTGCAGTCTGTAGCCCGCTAGTCCCTGGGGAAACATTCAGGGGGTGATGGCCCTCCTGAAAGCATGTTTGCCTTTGAGGGTTTGCACTTCTAGGCAGAAGTTTTGGACAACCCTGGGAAGGGCACAGTTGCACATTGATTCATCTCAGCAGGGTCGCATGAGCCCGCCCACCTCCTGAGTACAGACTCTGCCCTGCCTTGGGTTTGGTTGATTTACACTCATCAAACATGTGAGGGCCAGGGATTTAGCTCAGTGGTTTTGCTGCCTGCTGCGTAAGCGCAAGGACCAGAGTTCGATCCCCGGTACCAAAAGAAAAAAAAAAAATTAAGGGCCGGGCATTTAGCTCAGTAGTTCTGCCACCTGCCTCGAAAGCACAAGGTCCTGAGTTCAATCCCCAGTACCAAAAAAATATATATGAGAAACATGTGAATAATTCACCTCTGAAGTCCAATCCTGCTGACTGTCAATTCACCCCCGGGACAGCCTTTCCCAAATCTTAAATGCTCCTCAACAAGTAGCGTCTCCCCAGGGACTCTGCTCCCTATGGGATCTGGCTTCTGTGGCCACTCAGACTAGGAATCTTCCTTTTCCAGGTCAGCTTCTAAATCATCTCTGCCTTCAGAAATGTCGTTGGGCGCCGTTCGATGTGCAACGTGCTGTGAGCAGGGCACTGGTATGGGTTCCCTCCCCTTGCCAGGTACACACCTACGAGGAAACCAAGAAGCAGGAAGCCACTTCCACTGGGCACTTAAAGCCAGCGTGACATGGGTGGTCCAAGTAGAAGGACACAGCCGTAGGCAGTGGTGGGGCCTCCTGTTTGGGAGAAGGAGTCTGAACAGACAAATAAACAAGGAATTTTCGGCCTGTGAGGAAATAAGACAGGATGTTAGAGTGGAGAGGCAGGGACTCAGAGCGGGATCCACCCAGGTGGTCGGCAGTGTCCTTTCACCCAAGACCCACAGCGGTGAAAAGGGACCTCAAGCCTGCCCACCTGTGTGTGCTGGGTCACCCCTGTCCATCCTCACCAGCCTGGCCACGTCGGGATCCCATGACTTCCCGTGGGTGCTCAAGACACAGACGGAGCAAGTCAAGGCTGGAATTTACACCTCTGTACTCAGGCCACCAGGCTGTCCTGGGCTTTTCCTTGTATAGTCACCCTCAGTAGCAATGGAAATTGGTTCCAAGACCTCACAGGACACCAGCATCCACCGAAGCTCAAGTCTCATATAAAATGGCATCACATTTGCATATAGAACCATCACAACCCTCCATGTACTAAGCCATCTTTAGATGCCTTAGAACGCCTGATACAGTGTAAGGAACCATTGTTTAGGAAATAACGACAAAGAAAAATCTGTACACATTCAGTACAGACAAGATGTTTTAAAATATCTTCGACCTGAAGTTGTTTGAATCCATAGGTATAGAACTCACAGATATGAAGGGCTAACTGTGTAAGATTTTAGGGAATCTCTTCCAGAAAGTTCTAAAGGCATTTATTGGACTGGAATGGATTTATTTTAAGAGGGTTAGGAGAGCTGAAGGCAAGGCCTTTGATAAGAGTCCAGCTTTGCACACCCATGGGGTTCCCCACGGCTGCCCCTGCCTGTGACCACCCCGTGCCTGCCCGCAAGCTTCACAGCACAGAGGATGCCCGCACATGCTGGGAAGGACCTCCCAGGTTTCAGCTGTTCTCAAAGAACAGCAGACATGAACTCCTCGATCACACATGACACAGTGCTTTTATGATGACCATGAGTGCTCTCATAAAATGTCCCTCTTTTGCACAAAACAGCTGCATTCTAACTTTTAAGGCAGTTGCGTTATCTCATTTAGCCAAGAATAATAAACAACTCCCAGGACACAAAAAACATTACTCTGACCCCAATATCTGCATTGTCCTTAGAACTGTGCAGCTGTATTTGTTTTTGCTCCACCAACCAAAGTCAATGTGACGTGAATCCCCAACCACAGCCAAGCTTGCCCAGAATCAACTCGTTTGGTGTGTCTGACATTTTTATGACCACAGATGTGTTCACGTCTTCCCTTCACATCATTCTAGTCTCTCTTAGAAACCTTGATAAATGTCTTCACAGTGCCCGTCTTCATTTTCTTGTACAGCATTTATTCTCAGCGTATAACTCACCCTCTTGTTTGAAAACTAGGATCCTGAGGCTCTGTTAGGAAGGCACCTGCAGCCTGAGTCGTGTCAGCAGAGATGACCCCACCCCAGGGCAGCTGTCCACAAAGCCTGGGCCACACTGGTCACCAGTCCCCTTGATGTGTTTCAGCTACCTCCTGCCACACCTCCTTCCATCCAAACCCGGCCTGGACATGCACGGCACGCGACATCCTGCAGCCAACACTATCCAGAGGGTGTTCAAGATGAGCTTTGTGCCGGTCGGCTTCTGGCAAAGGTTCATCGCGCGGATGCTGATCAGCTTGGCTGAAATGGATCTGCAGGTAGCTGGGGCCTCTGCACAGGGAGGCTGCGGGCTCCTGCAAACGTACCGTAGGGAGGGATGTGTTGATTTTGTTAATGGGACCTGATTGAAGATCATTCTCCTGCCACCATGCTGGTGATTTGGGGCCCGGAGGCAACTCGGGTCAGAGCCATTGAACCGTCCTGTGAATACCAAATCAGCTCACACTTGGCTTTGGCAGAGCAGGTTTTCTAGAGGGCTGCCTGCTCCAGAACACCTGGAGGGCCCTTTCTAATGAGAATACTCATTGCTGGGCCTGCCCCCAGCAGTTCCAAATCATTGAGTGTGGACTGGGACCAGGGTTGGCGTTTCCAGCCATTCCCCACTGGCCCATGACTTTGGAAGTCTGGTCTTGCTGTCCTGGCTGTACCAGACTCAGGGGACACAGCCTTCTTGAGGCACTCAAATTAGAATCTTGGTGAGGCATCCTCACATTTTGGGGGGTATGATGCTGGGGATTGAACCCAGGGTCTTCACAACTGAGCTACTTCCCCAGCCTTTTTTATTTTTGAGACAGGGTCTCACTAATTTGCTAAGGCTGGACTTGAACTTGCGACCCTCCTACCTCAGCCTTCCAGAGTGCTGAGATTACAAGTGTGTGCCACCATGCCTGGCTGCCATCAGTGTTTTTAAATCTCCCAGGTGATTCTGCTCTGCAGTGGAGCTTGAGAACCACTGGAAATAATGAAGACCTGACCCAAGGTGCTGTCCTGCGGGTTCTTGTGGGTTACAGAGAGGCAGCCTGAGTGTTGGGCCACATTAATTTCATGTAAGACAGTTCATGGGAGTAATAGTTACCAAGGACAGTGGTTCTCAAAGTGGGGTTCCCCGACCAGCAGAATCACATGGGAACATCTGAGATACACAAATCCTCAGGCCCCAGTACAAACCTGCTGCCTCAGAACCTCCAGGGTGGAGCCCTCCATTCTGGTTTTGACAAGCCCTCGGGATTCTGACACACTCTGCTCTGCAGTTTGTGAACCCTTGGCATAAACCCTGACCTTGCCTCCTTTTGACGTTGACCTCTGTGTGAGTTTACTTCTGCCATTCTAATTAGAATCCCCTTATTAAATTATAACTTCTTGGTGCAATAAAGATGCTCTTTGATCTTGCTAATCCATTAAGATGGGGAAAAAATAAATGCAAGAGCCTGAAAATCAATCAGAACTTGCAGCCTTTCTTAGCAGACAGCTTTGTTTAGGAGGCCAGGAGTGTGTACCGGCTGGAAGAGGGGGTGCGGGCTAGGGTCTTAGCAGGCTGTCTGCCCTCTGTGTGAACCCTGTGTCCTGCTGCGTTCTGGATGGGGGGTCAGGAAGCACCAGTACCCTCAGAAGCTGAGCTCTCCAGTGGGGCCTAGCTGGGCACAGGGTCAGCCCTCCTACTCAGCCAATCCCTTGCAAAGAATCCTATTGAAATTCAGACTGGTGACCGAGGAGAAGGGTTCAGTCTCATCAGCAATCAGAGGCATGCAGATTCACACAGCAGAGACGCCACTTGGCGCCTGTGGAATTAGCAAAGAGCTAAACTGCAGTCCCTGGCCCCAGAGAGGGACACAGGTGGTCACAGCATAGGACGGTCGCATTTCAAAAGCCAGTTTCCTCAGTATGCATCCAGAGCCTTAAAGCATTCAGGCCCTTTAACCTGTAATCCCATCCATGGACTGAATATCCCAACGAAGGAAACCTTTTGAAACCAGAGAAATCTCTGTGTGTTTTTGCATATTCATTACGGCAAGTTTGAAAGAGCAAAAGATTGGAATCAACCTAAATATGCAAGAGAAGGGGATTGTTCAGGAAATTAATGTACTTCCTAGCTTTAGAAAAATGAGTTTTAAGTGAGTGTTTAATGGTGTAAGAAAAGTAATGTATTTTAAAGTATACATTTTTGGTGGTGTTGGAATTGAACCCAATCCCTTGAGCACAGTACTCCATCTGTACCACTGAGCTACCTCCTCAGCCCAGAAAGTACACAAAGACAGGAATATAATCTGGACTCAGCTGCTTTTTAAACATATATGTAGTTAGAAAAAAGCCTGGAATTACAGATACCAAAATCTTAATGATCTCTCTGCTTGCTGTTTAACTGGTATTTTATTTTCTCTCTTATATTTTTCTCTTGCCCACATTACTTACGAAGGCCGGAAGTGAACCATGTTTTTTTTTTTAAGGAAAGCCTATTTCCAATTGCTTGGAAAACTCTGTTTCCAGGGTGCCCTGGAGACCCCTGCAGACGAGGGAGCGTTAATTTGGCAGCGGAGCCATGGGGCAGGCGTGGGAGGAGGCGGTGGGGAGCCCATGGTGATTTATCAAGATGGAGCCCGGCCGGCCGCTCAGAGCTCTGCTCCGGGTCAGCACAGAGCTGGAATGCTCAGGCAGGGTCTTTTCTCTCTGTCTTTCAGCTTTTTGAGAACAAGAAGAATACTAAAAGCAGAAACAGGAAAGTCACCATTTACAGTTTTACAGGGAACCAGAGAAACCGCTGCAGCACATTCAGAGTGAAGAGGAACCAGACCATCTACTGGCAGGAAGGGCTCCTGGTCACTTTCGATGGGGGCTACCTCAGGTGGGAACATCCTGGGTCACCCCATGACGTGGCGAGGACCCCCTGACAGCCCCACAAGATGCCTCACTTACCTGGGTCTGAAATCCTGCTTCTGAGAGGCTCTCATGGTGGCTGCTTGCCAGAAATGCCAGACCCTCCCTGAACATGTCCCTGAGGTCACTCCCTTCACGGGACAGGAAAAGCCAGGGCAGATGTGGCAGCAGGGGGAGCCTGGGGCACCTCGCATGGTCGCTGAGGTGGGGCCGTCCAGTCCACCTCCCTCTCTGAGAGAAGGAGCCAGAACAGTGGGGACAAGGAGGCACTGGGGTCCTCTGTGACCAGCAAGATGCTTTTGGGGTTTTTTAGAAAGAGAGAAAGAAACAAATTCAGCTGAACAGACCTAATGAGTGATCAGCACACAAGATTATTTAATGGTTCCAGTGACCTTTGCAAAGGAATCTTTAGCTCTGTGAGAAGGAGGAGAGGGGAGAAAGTAACTCCCCAGAGGGTCTGATTTGAGCCATTCTTTGTGCCTATAGGTTCCATGTAGATGTTCTCATTTAAAGTTCACACTTCCACCTGATGGATGGACACTGTTCAGAGAGTAAAGAGCTTCCTGGGGTCACAGCTGAGGGTCACACCCGCCCTGAGCATCCTCACTGCAGACTTCTTGCTGTGGGCACGAGGACAAAGCAGGCCCACACACATGGATCATGACTAGCGGAGCCCCCCGACAGCTCTGGCCTCTCTGTGTCCCCCGCCTCTTGGTCCATTCTTCCAGGGAGGGAGCTCACCCCACGGTCTGCTCCACAGGGTCACAGTGGGCCTCTTTTTGTTTCCCATTACAGTGTGGAATCTTCCGATGTGAACTGGAAAAAGAAAAAGAGTGGAGGGATTAAAATCATTTGCCAGTCAGAAATGAGGGACTTCTCAGCGATGGCGTTTATCACGGATCATGTGAATTCTCTGATCGATCAGTGGTTTCCTGGTAAGAGAACATGCTGGAACCAAGCCTCTGATCATGCTTAGGTTTCTTTAGAAGTCAAGGAGGGGCTGCTTCTTTGGGGGAACAAAATCCCACCAGGTGGGGTCCCTGCCCTCTCCTTGCACCTCTTCTGTCAGCCTGCCCGGGGCTGCGGGGCTGTGAGGCCCCTGCGCTGCCTTTGGCCACCAGGGGACTCTGAGGCGCGTCCCCACCCTCTCCATGGGGAATCTTTCAGGATCAACAGTTGCACTCTAAAGGCACTGGTGTGTGACCAGCTTCGGACACCGCCTGAGGTCCAGGCAAGGGCAGATAGACCAGTGCTGTGAAGCCGGCCCCCGGGGGCTGCCGCTCAACCACTCTGCATGACCTGGCTCCTGCTCTGTCCCCATCTAGCCCTGACGGCCACGGAAAGTGACGGGACCCCACTCATGGAGCAGTACGTGCCCTGCCCTGTGTGCGAGACATCCTGGGTGCAGCACGCTGACCCCAGTGAGAAGTCGGAGGGCGTGCAGTACTTCGACATGGAAGACTGCGTGCTGACAGCCATCGAGCGGGACTTCATCTCCTGCCCCAGACACCCGGACCTCCCAGTCCCGCTCCAGGAGCTGGTCCCCGAGCTGTTCATGACCGACTTTCCGGCCAGGTATGCTGCCATGGCCCCTCCTCGGACACAGTGCAGGTCCCAGGACTGTGCTCTTTGCTGTCGGGTGCCAGTAGGTCCCAGGGCAGACCCAGGGTCACTGCAGTGGCTGCCCCACTGCCCGGTGGCAGCAGTCACTCCAGCCACTGCCTCCCACCACATCGCAGGTGACTTAGGTTGCATCCCAGGCTGCCAGGAGCAAACAGGGTCCTTAGCTTTCCACTTTGGAGGCGCGGCAGGTGCCTCTGGGCACTTTGCAGGTGCAGCCGTCTGTGGCCCTGCTTTTTCTCCCCTCCCAGAAGTTAGTGCCCCTTCTGCTGACTCCTGCCGCACTGCAGGCTGGAGGAATGGAAGGTAACTATAGGCCTGTTCCCTGGCCCTTGAGGACAGTGCTCCCAAACCTACAGCTTCCTTGTCCTTTTTGGGCAAATGCTGACTCCTATCTGCCGCCCTCAGGCCGACCATTTGGATCCTCTAACTCTGTTCTTAGAGTTGGTTCTGCCTGTACTCATCTCTGTCGTAACTGGGGAGAGAATTCTGGAGAAAACATCTCGTGGGCCCAACCCAGTAGGAAATGGCCATGAAATCCAAGTCGATGGTAAAAGATGCCATCGTCTTTGGTCAATGGGAACCCGAACCTATGATTTGGTGTTCTCAAAGACAATCTGATGTCAACTTTTTTGGAGTTCTAAGTTTCTGTAGCCTTCTCCCTCAGAGGCATGCTATCAACCAGGCATGGTGGCCCACACTTGTAATCCTGGCACTCTGGGAAGCAGGCAGGAGGATCACAAGCCCAGCCTGGGCAACTTAGTGACTCACCAAGACCCCGCATAAGAAAGGACTGGAGATGTAGCCTAGTGCTAAGGCCCTGAGTTCAACCCCTGGTACCATGCAGAGGGGGAAAAGGCATGCTATATTGCCTATAAATTTTATTTAAAGAAAATTAGACTTTTTTGATAAGAATATTTGTATTCTTATATTTCCACATTGCTCCAAGCACAAGTGGAATGTACTGTAATTTTAGAGAATTGGGATTCCAAAGAATGCTTCTGGGTGAATCTGTCAAAGAAAGAGGGGTCTGGAGGTGGAGCTTAGTGGTGGAGCATGTGCTTACTGTGCACGAAGCCCTGGGCTCAGCCCCAGCACCAAACATGGTGACAAATAAATAAAGGAAATGCTTCCTGCGTTAGATGATTCCTCCCCTGGTTCTTTTCAGTATCTCCTGGGTGGGCATGACGAACACCACTCTGTAAAATGACTCCCCCTTCGCAGAGTTTTGATAGGAGTGGTCTGTTCTCAGAGCCCACCTGCGGTTTCGTGTAAACACAAATCCAGTTTATTTAGGGAGATGCCCTATGGGGGTCCCCCAAAGCTTTAGAATGTTTATTTATTTGCTGAATCTTGTTATGTTTATGACTCAGTTTAGAGACCCCAACTGAGGGTGGAATTTATTGGACTGTCCCTGGTGACTTGGATCTGATCTCGGGCTGTTGCATGAAATGAAGTTTCTTGGCAGGAAGTTGAAAAGCACAGCATTCCCAGTCCAACAGAGGCACTCTGGACTTCAGCTGGGGCCCATCCATCTCGTAGTTTGGCAGGCAGAGCTCCTACAGACTTCTGAGTCTGCACAAGTCCAAACAGGGACCCCCAGCCTGGGTCCCCGTGCCCATCTTGGGGAGTTCCCAAACACCTACTCTTCCCAAGCAGGCAGTTTTGGTGGGCCTCAGACTGTTTTCTGCCAAGCCCCCGAGGGCTGCAGTGGGTGTAGAGGTGACGAAGTTGAGTCCGAGTGTCTGCAAAGCCTGCTCCTGAAGGCACAGGAAACAGCTGCACCTGCAGGGCTGGGTGGCCTGTGGGATCCACCTTGCCTGGTTGGCAAGGCGCCCAGTAGGGTTGCTGTGAGGCACTGAGGTGGACCTCAGCAGAGCAGGTGGCCTTTTCCCCTTATTCTTTCCCTTCCCTCCCACCAATTTCCCTTGCTTTCTTTGCACCCCACGTTCCTGAAGAAAAAGAAGAGTCGCAAGGAGCAGGAGGCAGAGGCAGGGCATCCGGGTGAGAGCCCGGAGGTGGTCAGGAAGTACAGGGTGCCCACAAAGGCCCAAGCCTTGCATGCTGGCCCCGGAGCCCAGAGAATCTGAGCCCATGGAGGGCCTACCACCCTGATCCTCTGCCCTGGTCCCATCTGGGATGCCCAGAAGGCTCGAGGCCTCTACCCACGCAGGCCTGGCCTTCTTCGTTGAGAGCCTGCAGATGCACAGGGGTCTGCAGAGAAGGGCGAGGGGTCCAAGAACAACTGGCAACATTGCCAAAAGGCCAACAGAAACTGTCTCTTCCTGGGATTAGAGCACATAGACCAGGCGGCTGAAACTCCCAGAGGGTGGGACACAGTCATGCGGATCAGAAGCTCTGCCTGGCAGTGTTTTTACAGCCTTTACCTAACACAGAGTGGAGAAATGACTAACCTGCAGTGAGTCAGTGCAGTTTGGCTGAGGGAGGCCGCTCTCAAAGCACAAAATCTTTCAGAGTAAAACATGCAAGGACACCCTTGTTGCCCACTGTATTTAGAGGCTTCACCCAGAGCCAGGCAGCATGGCATCTCTTGGGCAGCTCCTGATGTGAGTCTGCTTTACCAAGGAAGTGACCGAGGCCTGGCAAGGCTGCATAGGCTGCCCAGCTTTGCCGTAGGCATGTGGTGGGATCAGCCCAGATCAGTCCAACCTTACAGACGGCTTTGAACTGCGACTGTCCCCCAGGAAGAAATGTCCCAGCCCAGGACCCAGCTCAGCCCACCCAAGTCAGGTCACCCGGGCTGACCCCTGAGCTGTGTGTGCACAGGCTTTTCCTGGAGAACAGCAAGCTGGAGCACAGCGAGGATGAGAGCAGCATCCTGGGCCAGGGTGGCAGCGGCACCGTCATCTACCGCGCCCGGTACCAGGGCCAGCCCGTGGCTGTGAAGCGATTCCACATCAAGAAATTCAAGAATTTCGCTAATGCACCCGCAGGTAACATGGCCCCAGCCCAGCACTGTTTTTGCATGTGTGCTTCCTCCATCCAAGCTCCGAGCCACCTTAGGGGGCCCTGAGGTCACCCACTCAGGAGGCAGGAAGGGAGAAGGGTGGGTAAGGCAGCGTGGGCTCAGGGCTTTCTGCCTGGCAGGTTGGGGACAGGCTGGAGGGCCAGGCCAAGCGAGGTCTGGAAGTCATTCTTGGAGATGTGAGTCCCCAAGAGCAGGGCCACCCTTGCTATTTCTGTCTGCCCTGTGCCCAGTACATGCTGGCACATGGTAGGCAGACAGTGAGGCCTAAGTGGGTCCTCCCCTGCAGGACCCCTCATTGTGGTCTCCTGAGCTGGGATCAGCTGGGTACTCCAGATGGGTGGAGTGGGACGCTCCCCCCACCCTCCCACCCCCAGAAGGAAAGGAGCTCCCTCTTGCCCACACCAGAGATGGCACCCTCAGCCCCACTCGACTGCATAGTTCAGGGATGTTCTCCACCAAGAAGGGCCCATCAGCACCTGTCTAGACTCTTCCTGCTGCTTTAACAGAGTACTCCACGCTGCATAACCTGTAAGCAAGGGAAGTGTATTTAGCTTAGGGTTCTTGAGATTGGGAGGCCAGAGAAGATGGGCTGGCTGCTGGTGAGGGGCGTCACACTGCATCACCCCAAGGTGGAAGGTGGGAAAGGAAGAGAGCATGCCAGACAGAGAGCAAGGGTGGGCTGACCTTGGGTTTGTAACAAGCCCACTCCTGAGGCATCCAGTTCACCTTGCCATAGCCCCACGAATCCATTATGGGATCAGAGCCTTGATGACCCAGTCACCTCTTACCAGGCGCCACCTCCCAACACTTCCTTCACTGGGCATAAGTGCGTGCCCTTCGGAGGACACAGTCAGACTATGGCACTGTGTGATGCCAGCCACTGCAGGTGCTGGGGAGGCCTCAGCACCCCTGCCAGCTACGACCTCATCTCTCACTCCTCCTGGCTCAGGACAGGTTACTTTTGTAATAATAAGGTGATTCATACTCTCAGTAGAAAAATTAGAATCACAGAAAAATATAAAGAACACAGATCACAAAGGAAGAGACAAAATAATAATTGTCTGATGAGAATGTGACTTTCTGCACAGGAAATCTTAGCAGATTTGTTGAGAAGTGTCAGACAATAAGAGTTCCCTAAAATTGCTAGATGTGAGCCAAATACGGGAATGCAGCCGCCTTCCCATACACAGCAAATTTCCTCTGTAGCAGCAATAAAAACCTTAAGGTTTTGAGAAATAACCACTGTATCATTCAGCTTAGTTCTTATCTGGGCTCCAACAGGGTGTACATTCGTGTAATTTGACAGACTGTAAAATGCAGGTGCAATAAGACAAGTCCAGAAACTAAGACTATCGTACAGTGAAAGCCAAAGGAAAAAGGACTCCTCCCACATGTATGACTTACAATCCACAGGCTTTGGGGCCATGTTCTCCCGGGGTAAGCCCAGGCCTTTCTGGGGACGGAGACAGGCTGTGCAGTACAGGAAGCCAGCACGTAGCAGAGGTGGCATCGCAGGTCACCATCTTGGCTAAATTAGGTGCAAATTTGGACCTGATCTCTCACCACCCTAAAAAGTACATTCTCAATGGGTTAAAGACCCATAGTGGAAAACAAAACCTGTGTGCTTAAAAACCAAATGGCCCCCACATGCATAGATCTGGCACAGCTGGTGGTCTTTCCTCACCGAGGTTTTCATGTTGTTTGAACTTTCACATCTCACAATCTCAATTTTAAAATCTAACGGGTCGGGGGAGGGATGACACAGGACACAGAAGATAACCAGGATCTGGACGCGCCCTGGTGGCCTCAGCCAGCTGTTGCTGTGTGAGCCACTCAGCCTGGCGGATGTCTCCTGACCTCTCCAGGGTCTCCTGCCGGTCGTCACGTGGGGGTGAATTTCAAGGGCATCGGAAGAGGGTTACAGCATGGTGTTGGAATTGTCTGTCACCACCTGCAGGCCTTTTCCCCGGGTCTGAGGAGACTGTCACAGGCCAGTGGCGATGAGAGAGTGGTGATGCTGTCCACCTTTAGTGGCCCTGGCTACTGTTGGGGCCCCCAGTTACTGAAGACCCTTGCGAAAGTTTCAGTCTCCTACTCAGTGATGTGGCACACAGCTGAAAATGAAACCAAGAGAAAACTGCAGTTGTAAAAGGGCTGTGGGGTGGCCAATTGCTCCGAGAAACAGAGGGCAGTTATCCACTGCAGCTCTCAGCTTTTATTGAATGTACAAGGAACAGAGGCATAAGTGGAATATGGGCAGAGGGTCGTGGTTGAATGCACGGGAACAGTCAATTCTGCAGGGTAGCTACCAAGAGAGGAACAAGGCATTCATGCATCAAACACAAAACCATCACATTTCCGTAACAGCTTAATGGGTAACTTAGTATGTTGCTATAAGCAACTTCATACTGCTGAGAAGAAGACTTTGTTCTAATAAGTCTCGATGCTTCAGTGCTGACATGGCCCATATCTTAGCTTCTTCCCCTCATCGGTCACTTTTTGGGCCTCAGGGGCACTGTTACCGGGGGCAGTGCTGGCCCTACATTACCGCTCTTCCATCAGCACCTTGGCTGAACTCCAGTTACATCGTTTAAAGCCAATTAGAAAGAAATTATCTTTGTGCAACTGGCACTGCCTTCACTTCTATAATTATCACGCCAGGGCTAGTGAGGAGAAGGAAAAGGACTGTAGCAGGCTGTAGCCAGGGGTCTTCAACGCGGTGGTTCTCCACAGGCTACTTGGTAAGGAATCAGGTGACCGGCAGTGGCCGAATGCTCAATGTCTGTGATGGTGGAGAGGAAGGGACCTTATTACACTCCAGAATCTCCTGGGCCAGGCTCTGAGTGAGACCCAGGGGTGCAGAAGGAGTAAGATACAGTTGGGGCCCACAGATGGCTGGCAGCTAGGTGTGAATTTAGGGCTACAAGATCTCTCTCTCGGTGACAGGGGTGGGCATGTGGCAGTCCTCCATCAAGGGGCCAAGTAGGCCTTAGTAGATGGTCGCACAGGAGCTGCCAAATGATGGCCATGTTAGCACCCGAGAGGGAAGGAGCTTGGTGTCAGCCCACAGTGTTGCCTTTTGGGACCAAATTCTGGGCAGTATCGCTGCAGTCCGTCAGATAACATGTGCCTGGAGTGTAATCCCTGCACCCCCATCTTGGTCACTGTGGGTGGCTCTCAGTGCCACAGGCCCCTAACTCGTGCCCTGGGCTGGCTGCCTAGTGAGTCTAGGCTGGGTCCCACTAGCCCCAGGTCCAGTGGGGCAGCTCATGCCCTGCACTGTTGTCCTCCCTGGTGCCTGATGGCTGTACTCACATCTCACCCCTGCAGACACCATGCTGAGGCACCTGCGGGCCACGGACGCCATGAAGAACTTCTCGGAGTTCCGGCAAGAGGCCAGCATGCTGCATGCCCTGCACCACCCATGCATCGTGGCACTCGTCGGCATTAGCATCCACCCACTCTGTTTTGCCCTGGAGCTTGCCCCGCTCAGCAGCCTCAACACCGTGCTGTCTGAGAATGCCAGAGGTACCCACCTGCCCTCAGAGAACATTCCACTGGGGGCTACCTGGGCCCTGCCACTAGGGGCCACAGGAAGTTCTACAAAAGTAGAACTAGAGGTCCTTATTAAGCCCAGAGTGTGCCCTGTCCCATAGCAAGTCATCTTACCCAGTATAAGCACTGATGGTAGCATTGGCCAAGCCTGAGGAGTTCATACTTTGGAGACAGGAGAACCAGGTTTCAAGTCTTGGTTCCCTGCCATAATCTATGAGACTGCTTCATTTGTGAATTAGTCAGCTTTCCTGACACTGGGACACAACTCCTGGCATCTGCAATTTAGAGAAGATTAATTTGGCTCACTATTTCAGGGTATTAGTCCATGGTCTGCTGGCTCCAAGGCAGAAATATGGTGGAAGGGTGTGGCAGAGCCAAGCTGCTGAATTCATGGTGGCCAGGAAGCAGAGCAGGGGAACAGCACTAGAGAAGAAGGGACAGAGGACCCAAATATAGCACCCAAGGTCACACCTCGATGGTCTACCCAGAAGTGTGCTTTGCTAATATACTAGGCATTTCTTTATTAAATCAAGTTGCTGTACAATTGGCGTTGCCTATGAAAGAAGGATAATAATAGTCCGCACTGGGAGGGCACCAGGCCTCAAATGAGGGAGTTGCCGGAGATGGAGCTCAGTGGTTCCGGGCCCACCTCACAAGTGCAAGGTCCCGAGTTCGATCCCCGGTACCAAAAAAAAAAAAAACAATGAAGGAGCCTTCGGTAGACCTAGGCAACTACAGCTGGCACCTCAATCCCACCAGGTGTGTAAATAAATCCCTTCTCTAACCCTAATGCACCTCACTCCCTGCCATTGATAAGGCTGAGAACTGGCATCAATTATATCATATCTTACTTTTTAAAGAAATGTAAAGAGACCTTACCTTGAGAAATGGGTAACCAAATTCTAAACTGCTGCCAAAATACGGGAGGTAGCTGTCTCTTTACTGGGGAAGAAATGCTATGTAAATCAATCACTAAATACTCAAAAATAAATTTTTTAGTGACATCCTACACCTGCAGCTCACCTCTTGCCAGCAATACAATGATGGCCTGAGATCAACTCTGGGGCTTTGAATCCTTGCTTGTTTAGTAAAAATGCCAGGAATTCCAGGCCTGAGATGCTGTGAAAGGAGCACTGATGAGTAGCACTTCTGTCTTAAATCCCATTTCACCTAAGAAGGCCCTGGAGAGTACTGAAGATGTGTTCATGGAATACAAAACATTAGGGGATATGTTTGTCAGCTTTCCATCGTTGTGATAAAAATACTTGAGCTAAACAACTTGTAAGGAATAAAGGTTTATTTTGGCTCATAGTTTCAGAGGTTTCAGTCCATGGTGGCTTGGCCCTGTTGCGTTGGGCCTGTGGCAGCACAGCACATCGTGGCAGGAGTATGTGGCAGAAAAGACAGCTTAGTTCATGTTAGCCAGGAAGCAAAAGGAAAGGAGGGACTGGGTCCCAGTGTCCCCTTCAGGGCCACAACCCTCATGACCTAACTTCTTCTCACTTAGCTCCACCTCCTAAAAGTTCCCCCACTTCCCAGTAGAACCACAGGCTTGAGACCAAGCGTTTAACACATGGGGCCTTGGAAGACAAACTAGCAAGGAAATAGAAGAGAAGACTGGAAAACAGTTGCTATCATGCTGATTTGATTCTATCAAAGATTAAAATTGTCATTTTAGATTCTTCCTTCATGCCCCTGGGACACATGCTAACCCAAAAAATAGCCTACCAGATTGCCTCAGGCTTGGCTTATCTGCACAAGAAGAACATCATCTTTTGTGACCTGAAGTCGGACAACATTCTCGTGTGGTCCCTGGATGTCAAGGAGCACATCAACATCAAGCTGTCAGACTACGGGATCTCGAGGCAGTCCTTTCATGAGGGCGCCCTGGGTGTGGAGGGCACGCCCGGCTACCAGGCCCCGGAGATCAGGCCTCGGATTGTGTATGATGAGAAGGTACCAGCCCAGCCCACTGCCCTCCCCAGCCTGCCCTGCCGGGCTGATGCTGAGGTCCCATCTGGAGCCAGCCAGGCAGACCTGGAGCACCTGGCCCTTCCAAGCTCAGTCCCCTCGGCACACTTGTCTCTGACTCCTCTGCTCAACACAGGAGGCTCTGGCTCGAGCCAGAAGGGCTTCAGAAAAGCAGAAAGAATACAGTAGTAAAGGGGCCTGGCCATCGGTCAGGGCACCACAAGGTACTAGCCAAGGCACATGCCAAGCCAGGAGAGAGTACTTTCTTGCCGGCAGACCTACCTGCACAAGGCCCCCACAGGCAGCTGCACAGCCGGCCTCGGTTCAGACAACAGCTAAATGCCTGTCTTCTCACATTTTAAGTGCTAACCTGTTAGTGAGTTGGCAAATGCACACAGACACCTCAAAATCATCTCATATTGCATATTTTACAACTACCGCCAGCCCTGTTAATTAGTCACCCAGGATTGAAACACCCCTCATCTGTAATTTCTTGTTCCTAGGTGATTTTCAGATGTGTCACTGACTGATTGCTTTGAGAATGACCTAAGCACCTGTGGGTTAACTTGGCACCTGTAGCTGTATGTTCCCCAACATAGAAAAGGTGCAGCACAGCAACAGAAATAAGAGCTTCTTCGTAGCAAGTGACTCAGACGTGGTGTTCTCCTAGAAACTAAGATTGTAACAAAAATATTCACCTTAATATTTTTCAAGTCTATCTCAGCCATTTTTCTGCTAAAAAGCTATTTCTTGATGCTTACAGGAGCCTGCATAACTTTCTTTGCTGGGTCTTTTTTATGCAATTAAAATGAAAGGAGACTACAGGCTGAGATGTAGGAGACACTCTGCTTTTTAGGAGTTGTGTTCGTGGTCCATCCAGTGCCAAGCCTGTTAAACCAAGGGTCTTGGCACCCTTGGAGCCCTTAATCAGCACCTGATGGTTAGCAAGCTCTTAGTAGGTATTTATTGGATTGATGAATGGATGGATGGATGGACAGACAGACAGGATAGGCAGTCGGATGGATGGGGGGATGGGTGGAAAAAATATAGAGGATGGATGGATAAGAGTATAGGACAAGTGGGCGTATAGATGGATGGATGGATGAAAAATAGATGGATGAATAGAAGAACGTGTGCTCAAAAGGATGGATGGATGGCCAGATGGGGGAATTAATAGCTAGAGGACAGAAAGACAGGTGGCCAGGATGGTTGGTTGGCTGATTGAACAGATGAAAATAGCAAAGCTGGTGGATGGATCGATGCTGGTCTCCCTTTCGTCTGGGCCCATGTTTTCTTTGTCTAATTGTGTCTCTCCTCTCTCTCCACCTCAGGGCCAGCTTGCAAAGCAAGCTGCCCAGGCAGGGGACCTGACTTGACTTGCCTTTCCGGCCAGGTAGACATGTTCTCCTATGGAATGGTGCTCTACGAGTTGCTGTCAGGACAGCGCCCTGCGCTGGGTCACCACCAGCTTCAGATTGCCAAGAAGCTGTCCAAAGGCATCCGCCCCCTTCTGGGGCAGCCAGAGGAGGTGCAGTTCCACCGACTCCAGGTGCTCATGACGGAGTGCTGGGACACGAAGCCCGAGAAGGTACCTGGGAGCAGAGCCTGGGGCTGGGGCCTCCTGCCCCTGTGGGTGGGAGGCTGTGTGGTGACCACCATCCTTCTTACCAAGAGCAGTCCTGCCACGTTCTCTATTTGCCTCTCGTAGGAAGAGACAGTTTCTGCTAACCTGCTCAGTTTTGTGTTCTATGTGTGTCACTCTCAGGAAAAACTAATTTTCTTTTCCTCCCCAATTTTTGTCATTTCACCATGTGAAAAAGTAAAGGTTGAATATTCCTCATCTGCAATGCTTGGGACCAGAAATATTTCAGATTTCAAAATATTTGTGTAGACTTTACTGTTTGATTATCTCTAATCCAAAATCCAAAATGCCCTGAAATCCGGAACCTTTTGCAGGCCCATTCACTGTGTATTGTAGCAATATAATCCCTATACAAGAGCAGAGGGGATGTAAATACCTCTTTGTAAGGTAGTGGGGAACAACTTTGCTCATGAAAAGGCGGTTAAAGCTGGTTTATTGTGTGATTTGGAGAAGGCCCTAGTTTCAAGGTTAAAGCTCATTTATCAAATCAAGCAGAGCTAGTTTCATGCACTGGGGGCATGGTGTGGAATACTTGGGATTAAGGGGAGCCTAACTGGCTGAGCTCAAGTTACTGGGGCTGGCAGTGACCGGGCTGCCCAGAGGAGTTTGCTCCTGGTGTCCCAAGTCCCTTCAGCTTCCTGTTAGGGCTTGGCCCTGAATGAGCAGATTCCCCTCACCCCCAGGCCGAGAGCTGACACCGTGGGTACAGGCCCAGCACGCTCATGCCCGTGGCTCTCTCTGCAGCGCCCGCTGGCCCTGTCCGTGGTGAGCCAGATGAAGGACCCAACCTTCGCCACCTTCATGTACCTGCTGCCCTGTGGGAGGCAGACAGCCTTCTTCTCCTCCCAGGGCCAAGCCTACACGGTGGTGTTTTGGGACGGGAAAGAGGAATCCAGGTAACCTCCTGCCGCCCGCCCTGCCCTGCCCTGCCCTGCCCAGCTTGTAGTCAGGGTGGAATTTGAGAATGACCATGGTGATTATTGTTCAGTGGTCCAGAGCCTGCTTAGAGTCCATTCAGAACAGCAGGAAGAGAGAAACTGAGTCAGCACGTACAGTTTTGTGGTTAAGAGAAGCCAAGAAACGATGGTCTCTGCCAGGTGTGTGGGGAACACGAGTCCAGAGAGCTGTGCTTTGAGATGAAGCTGTTCACAGCCTGATTGTGCAGGATGTTCAGTGATGCCTTAGCGGGCAGCGGGCAGCATCCAGAGTAAAGCGGCTGCACAGTGAGAGGGAGGGGACCCGGAGCCAGCCAGAGGGCCCCTCTGAAGTAAGGGCCACAGACATTCCCTTCTAGGGGCCGCTCTTTCTCAGTGGAGCGGGAGGAAAAGGTTTGCAGAAGGAAAGAGACTATATGGATGGGCGTGTGGCGTGAGGAAATCCAGGGTGCCTGCAGGGCACTGAGGCGCTAGAGCCACCAGCCTGGTTACACGGCTTTCTCCAGCACGTCCTGCTCCCCCAGGCTGCAGGCAGGCAATTAAGTGATCTTAAAAGTGGTGGATTTGCCCACAGGGAGGGCCGACAGGAGCTGAGGATGTCTTTGAGGAGGCAGTTATAGAAAAGGACCCTGAAGCCTAAGTAAGGTCATGAACTGGGGAGGAAGGGGGCCCAGTCTTGTGGTGTCAGATGGATCCTTGGGGAGGCACTGTGCGAGGCGGAGTGCGCTGAAAAGCTGGGTGGTCGTGGTCAGGCAGGATGCTTGGCATGGTGTGGATAGGAAGGGTGCAGTCAGTAGCAAAGGCAGGACCTGGGTGCAGCCTTGGGTGGGGGTGGCTGGGGTGAGATTGGGAAAGGACCTTTGAGGGACAAAGAGGAGGTCCCAAGATGCAGGGGCCAGGGCATGGGAAAGAGACTGAAGTCCCCAGGAAGTCACCATCATGAGAGAACCTTCCACTGTGGCCAAGTCTGCTGCCCCTTCTATCTGCCTGCTGAGAAATCCTCAGGCAAGAATCATCTTCCCATGAGCCCGAGGGCAAACACTGGAAAGTGCTGGAACCAGGCAAGGCTTAGATAGAGCTGAGCTTGTGTAGGAATGAGGTCAACAGGAGGAACTTTGCAATTTCCCTTACGTCATTCCGGGCAAGGTTGGCATCAGATTTTGTGCCTCTAGGACCGAGGGATATGACACAGACACTCACTAAGAAGTGATGCACTAAAAGTCCCTAAGATATGGCCAGTGACTGTCCCTTTCTGTCAGGATACATTCTAAAGATCAAACCAAAAGCAAACCTATACTACTGGCCTCTATCCACCCAGTCTGCATCCACAGATTCAACCTCCTGCTGATTGAAAATATTCAATACAATTGCATCTTTACTGAACATGTGTGACTTTCTGGTGTCTCGCTAGACCCTAAACAATACAGCTATTTACATAAGTTTAATTGCATTAAGTATTTTAAGTCATCTAGAGCTGGTTTAAAGTATGCAGGAGGATGTGCCCAGGATCTAAGCAAACACTGTGCATTTTATGTAAGAGACCTTAGTACCTATAGATTTGAATATTTAAGGGGGATGAGGGGGCCCTGCCAATACCAAGGGAGGACTGTATGTTAAAACCATTTCCAGTAATTATATTGGTTTTATTATTCCTATTCTTAAGATAGTATTTGTGGCTGTGGGGGAAAGTTAATGAATAATTGTGTGGCTGTCATTGGAAAGTGATTTTCAACATGAGCTAAAGGGGAAGTAGATGTAAAGTAAATGTAAGGTAGAGTGTGTAGAAAGTAAGTGAAGTTCTGAATTGAAGTTGGATGGCCTCATGATCGAGCTGAAGAGGCCTAGAAACAAGAAGGGGTATCTGCCTAGATACCCATGAGCATCCTAGGACCCAGGAAACCAGGGCTCATCAGAGGAATGGCTGATCCCAGGTCTGGGCCAGACCCGGACTTTGAACATTTGACACACAGGGAGCAAGGAGGCTCTTTCGGGTGGTGTATCAGAGGGACTCAGGGCCAAACCGGTCCCACTAACGACAGGAAGGGCCCTGATCGACCCGCTCACCTTGTCTTTAGCCTCGGCCTGGTCTCCTTGGCCTGGAGGGGCTTCCCACACTCATGGGGGGCAGGGAGTAGTCTTTGTGGAAATGCCCCTCCTTAAGCTGGGACAGCTGTTCCAACCCCCAGAGGTAGCAGAAAGAAAAGAGGCTTTCCTCACTTTGGGGGTGTCCGTGCTCTGCCTGCGATGTCCAGGCCCTGCACAGCAGGCACAGCCCAGCTCACCCCAGGGCGTGGAAGTCACTTCCTGAGCCTCTCAGAGCACAGCAAGATGAGACCTTGGTTTCCAGGGCTGAAGGAGGCACATGGGTCGAGGCCCTCTTCTGAGGCCATCGTGGCAGCTGAGGGGCCACCGAGAACTGACCACCTGCCTGTTGCCGACCGTAGGAATTACACGGTGGTGAACACGGAGAAGGGGCTTCTGGAAGTGCAGAGGATGGCCTGTGCCGGCATGAAGCTGAGCTGCCAGATCAAGGTCCAGAGCTCGCTGTGGACGGCCACCGAGGTAGCGGCCCACATGCAGGCCCCCATGGGGCAGGCTCCACCACTGTGCCACCCCCAGGGGGACCAGGTCAACTTGGCTTTCTGGTAACCCGAAGCTCATCCCGGGACAACCCCAGAGCAATGCCATCCGCCCTGTGAGGCAGCAGCATGTCCCCGGGGGCTCAGCCCTGCCTGCCCTGGCTCCTTCCTGCCGCTGCTGCTGGCTGAGGTTCTGGATGATGAGTGTTGGGCATAGACTCAGCTGGAGAAGACAGGTTTGACATGCCTGGGCTTCCCATGACGCTGCTGTGTCCACGCCGCACATCCTCTCTGCTCTGAAGGCCTTTGCCTTCTCATCGGGGAAGTCCCTGGAAAGCCCCAGGTCTCCTGAGAAACGCAGAGAGGAATGTCCAAATCCAGATGTTCTGAAGTTATGCAGAGGGGAGAGGTTGGTGCGGTCTAGAAAGACGTGACATTTGGAAGTATGGCTCAGTATGTGTCAGAAATCTCAAAACTACGCATGCCATGTAAGCCTTGCTAATTTCAATTCGAAGAATTTATTCCCAGAAAATAGCTAAGAGACACAAACACATGATGGGGGGATACTGATACTAATTCAGTATAACGCACAGTAGTGAAAACTTGGAGACAAACAGCCTCTGTCAGTAGATTGCCCGAGTTGCGGTCCTTCTGAGAGGAGTGCAGTGGTGCCCTGTGCCACCCCCGTTTAGCAAGCAGGAAGAAAAGTGAAAGGGCAGGGAATGCAGCTCAAGGTACAGCGCTTGCCTCGCTACCGCACCTGAGGCCCTGGGTTTGACTCCTAGTACTGTGAAAACAAGCAACAAATCCCAAAAGTGAGAAGGCAGCATTGTATTAAAATCCTACCTGCTGAGGATTTAGCTCAGTGGTTCCACCGCCTGCCTCGAAAGCACAAGGTCCTGAGTTCGATCCTTAGTACCAAAAAAGTCCTGCCTTTGCAGGTGCCGTGTGCACGTGCGCACGTGTGCACACACACACACACACACACACACACACACAACTTCAGAGAGGTTCTGCCCCCAAATCCCAGGGCTGGTTTTCTCTGGGAAATGAAATATGGGCAATTTAATTTTTCTTCTCTAGGCTAGTCTGTGTTTTCCAAAATTTCTACAAAGAACAGAACTACATTAACAAGCAGGCAGCCTCCACCCACTTCGCTTAAGGCACCAAGAGGAGCCCCCAGGCTGGGCGCACCGTATTGGGAAATGCCAGGTGCTCCCTCCCACCCTGGGTCTCACGGTGGGCCCGTCTGCCTCTGCAGGACCAGAAGATCTACATCTACAGCCTCAAGGGCATGTGCCCCCTGAACGCGCCCCAGCAGGCCTTGGACACTCCAGCTGTCGTCACCTGCTTCTTGGCGGTTCCTGTTATTAAGAAGGTGAGGCGGGGGGAGTGGGCGTGCGGGTCTCTGACCGCCCTCTGTCAGGTTTGGGTGGATCTCCCAGGTGTGTCTGGCTGGGAAGCAGGACAGCCACACCCTCGGGGGCCGCCAGCCCGGTCACAGGCTGCCCTAGAGACTTAGGAGGCCTCCATTAGCACGGACATCTCCTGTCCACAAGCGGAGACCACAGCCCGGCTCAGCTGCAATGCGTGTTGGCGCAAGTGTGCCGCTGTGTGAGGCCCCGCCTCCCCCTGGTAGCAGTGACACCAAGAGGCTCTTCCCCGGCTGCCCAAGCCAGTGCCTTCCCACGGCCATCAGTCGCCAGGCCCTGGCAGGCCCCGCTTCTGATCTGTGGGGAGCCTGCTCTCTTGCCCTCCCCGCCTCCTCCCCGGGGCTCACTGTCCATCCCAGACCAGTGTTTCCTTCCCAGCAGACCAGGCCGACTTCCCCTCTTAGTCCCCCAAGCCTGGCCACCCAGCGCTCTCCCCGGCCCTGGCAGAGCGGGTTAGGTGGCCCCCTGCTGGCGCCTGCTCCCCGGGCTCAGGCCCCTCCATCCAGCCAAGAACAGCCCCGCCCACACCCCTTCTCTGCCCCTGCCTGTTCAGTTCTCAGAGTTGAGGCTGTGACCTGTCCTCCGCGGGGCAGGCAGTTACCTGTCTTTCCCAGACTCTGCTGCCCTCCCAGGGTCCCAGCATTGCTCAGGCAATGCCGGCGTGGTCCGTCCCTGCCAGGCCTGTTTAAACCACAGGTGCCCTCAGTCAGCACACAGGGAGCAGTTGCCGGTGCTGCTGCTCAAAACGTGTGGACTGTCGTCAGTCCATCCCAGTAACGGGGGAATGCGGGATGGAAAGATGCCCGGAGCGCCGGGCCAGTGCCCTTGGAAATGGAGAGCATTACTAAGACCTCCTGACAGTCACGAAACACATCAGCTCTTCTCTCCACCCTGTTCTAGTTTCATTTCTTTAAAAAGAAACACCAGTGTGAAGTGAACCTTAGCTTCATTTAGGGTCGTGGCCCCATAGATGGGGATGGCGAGCTCAGGACACAAAGCGTCATTGAAGGCCATCAGCAGCCAGAGCCCTGAGCCAGGGCGCCACCTCCTGTACGACTGGGGGGAATAAAGCCTGCTCTGTGCAGAGCCTCCTGCTTGGGGTGCCTGCCCCCTTGGAGGCCTGGCTGCCCGCGGCCGTGCAGGGCAGACCCCTGCATTGTTGCACGCACACGTTCACACCCAGCCTGGACGTGGCGCTCAGCACGCTGGCGAGGCCGAGGTGGGACTCGGGACAGAGACTCTGAGCCTGTTTGCCTTGGCTGCTTTCTTTCCCTAAAATCGCAAATGTGCATTTTGATAAACTTTCTGAGAGCTTATTGGCCTGATGTTGAGCGGGAGACTGTCACTCTGGTACCTGGGACAGCCCAACCTCCTGACTTCCCTGACTGCCAACAAGGCAGCTTTCTGCAGCTCACCTCGCTGGTACCAGGCCCAGCCCCTGCACTGTCCTGACTCCCGCTTTGCCCTGCAGAGCTCTTCTGCCTCCCACCGTGCCCTGTTCCCACTCTGCCCTGAGAGACGCCCTGGTGGCCCACAGGGGCCCCATCATTCAGTCCCTAGAACTTTGCCCTCTGCCCAGCGGCCTCTACCCAGTGACTGCCAAAGAAGTTACGCTTTATTGCAGACGTAGGGGTGCCCTGAGGACCCTGTAAGTATCAGCTGTACTGTGGGCATCTCGGGGGGTTCCTGAGCTGAGAATGTGGGTACATTGGACCAGACGTGCCTCCAGGAGAAAGATGAGTTGGAAGTGATTTCTTTCGGAATTAGTTTAGCAAACATGCATTCATTGCCCACTTGAAGCAGAAAACCAAGTGGCGTCCCAGGGCCACAGAAATGAATGAGACTTAGCTGTTCCTGAACCCAGCCAACACCAGGGGACAGTGGTGGGCATGGGGACCCTCCCCAGGTTTCATGGAGCATTCTGCCTAGAGTGGCAGTGAGCAGACCCCCACAATGCCCATAGCTGTTGTCACAGGAACAAGCAGTGTTCTCATGAGGGAGGGCACCATGAGGCTTTGGTGGCCTTGAGGAAAAGACAGAGCCCCCTGCTGCTCCTGCTGCAAGAAGTCAGCCCCTCGGAGGTGGCATTGTGGGCCTGGTGACCTGGTTAGTGCCATGGGCACTGTTCCTCCATGGCACATCTCTGGCCTTGGAGCAGGTGGGCTGAGTGTGGCTGCACCAGGCTGGGCCTCCGGCACCTCTGGGTCCTGGGCCCAGGGCTGCTGCTGGCCGACCCAGCCTTTCTGAGAACTTTGCTCCTTGGGGACATTCACAGACGTCGCATGCCTGTCCGGGATATGTAGAGAGATGGACCACTGCCCCTCTGTTTCTCTGCTACAGTGGGGCTTCATGCACCCCTCTCTCCTCCCACAGAACTCCTTCCTGGTGCTGGCAGGCCTGGCTGATGGGCTCGTGGCCGTGTTCCCGGTGGTGCGGGGCGTCCCGAGGGAGAGTTGCTCCTACCTGTGCTCACACACAGCCAATAGGTCCAAGTTCGGCATCCCAGACGACGATGCGCGGCAGAACCCCTACGCGGTGAAGGCCATGGAGGTGGTCAACAGCGGGTCAGAGGTCTGGTACAGCAACGGGCCAGGCCTCCTCGTCATCGACTGCGCAGCCCTGGACATCAGCAGGCGGCTGGAGCCCTACACCACCCCCTCGGCCATCACATCGGTCGTGTGCAGCTCGGACTGCAGAGGGGAGGAAGTCGTCTGGTGCTTGGATGACAAGACCAACTCCCTGGTGATGTACCATTCGGCTACCTACCAGCTGTGTGCCCGGTACTCCTGCGGGGACCCCAGCCCCCTCAGGGACATGTTCCCCGTGCGGCCCTCAGGTCCAGAAGCGCTGCATAGCCACACAGCCAGCCCACAGGAGCCCGAGGGAGACTGCATCGCAGATGTGAGCATCATGTACAGTGAGGAGCTGGGCACACAGATCTTGACCCACCAGGACTCACTGACTGACTATTGCTCCATGTCCTCCTACTCCTCGTCCCCACCCTCCAGCCTGCTCAGCCCACCAGCCAGCAGTCCCAGCATGCCTTTCTCCACAGACTGCGAGGACCCGGAGCGGCTGCAGGAGCCCAGCGCCACCTCGGGCAGGTCTGAGCATGACCTGACCCCCATGGATGGGGAGCCGCTCAGCCAGCACCTGCAGGCCGTGAAGGTCCTCGCCGTCAGAGACCTCATCTGGGTTCCCAGGTAAGCGTCCTGGACTGGGCGGACATCCAGGTTGCCTGCTGCTTTGGCCTCAGGAGCAGGGTGGGCAGAAACCAAGCAAGTCCATCGGGCTGCTTCTGCGGAAGGATTTGCTCCTTCCTTCTGCAGTCAGCAGGGAGCTCTTCAGCAAATCTAAGCGTGGGCCCCAAAAGCTCATCTGCCCACCAGAGAGCTGCAGATGCCATAAAAGGAGAGCCACGCAGTCCCCTGCTACTAGGTTTCTGACCTGGAAAGTGCTCATCTGCCTCGAAGGCTGTGCCCTCCCTGTAACTCAGTCCCATGGCAGAGACCGCATGTTTCTTACCTCCTGACAGTGCCATTCCCCCTGGAGAGTATGGCTGGCCGTGGACAAACCACTTCCCTTCCTTGGTTTCGGTTTCCTAGGCATGGCGGAGATATTATCGTCATTGGCCTGGAGAAGGATTCGGGTGCCCAGCGGGGCCGAGTCATCGCTGTCTTAAAAGCCCGAGAACTGACTCCACATGGGTAAGACAGAAGGAGGCTGCTAGGGGACCCAGGGGAGCAGCATGGGGAATCCAGGGTCCCTGGTGATAGCCCAGCAGCCCTGCGGGGGCAAAGCAGGGACCAGCTGGGGTCCTTTGGGCAGATGAAGTCCTTCCGGGTCCTTCTGGGGGACTCAGCAAACACCGGCTAAGTTGAGCTTCAGCCTGTAGCCAAGGCCGCCTTCCTCTGGGTGCCTGGTGTCCCTGTACACCAGGTCTGCCTCCAGGGCTGCGTGCAGGAGAAACAGGGGTCCCTGCCAGTGACTCACCACCCTTCCTGCCAGGGTGACCCACCTGCACACCAGCACTGTCGAGCCAGGTGACATGCCACAGTCACTCCTCACGTGGCCAAGCCTGGGGCGGGTACCACCAGGAGGCGTGGCGGTGCCCAACCTTCGCATATCTGTAAGGACAGCTTGGCTAAGTTACCATCTACGTGGCCGAGATGTGGGCCTGGCCCTGGGCCACAGTTCCCAACAATATCGCCGTGTACGCTGACTCTGGGGCCGAGGCAGTAAATCTCCCCTTGAAAAGCCCTTGATTCAATGAATTCAAATTGAGTACATACGCCTGAGTGTGCCTGTGTGTGCACATGTGCTTGCACGTGTACTTTGGAGCCTTTCCACTTCACACTAGGCCTGTTTCTCTGCAGCATGAGCTACTGCTCATCTGTAGACAAAGGTCTTTATTTTATATGGAGCATGCAAAGGTGGAGAAATCCCATTTGGCCTGTTTCCCCCACAGCAAGACAGTGACCAAGGAGACTTCCTGGCAGTTTTACTCCCTGGCCTGCCACACTTGAGCTTTCTCAGTGACTCCCGGGGCTCTGAGAATGGTTCTAGAAACTAGATTATGGTCTGCTCCTAAGCCCTGGCTGAGTGTCTGTGGCAGACTTGAGCCAAAGTAGTCCCCAGCTAGCAGATTGGGTTTCGGGGATCAAGTGGGTGTGCCAAACCCAGGTTGGTTGACCTTACTGTGCTTGCTGTGAGTGTCCCTTAATTTTTACCTAGTGGTCTTTTTCCTGTTCATCCCCCAAAGCCAAGTTTTGCCCAGGCAGCCCCCTGAAAGGCAGGACCTGGCAAGGCCATGGGGGAGTCAGAGGCCTCTGGGCACCCTGGTTGCAGGAAGCCTCGGTGCCCAGCAGGATGCATGCAGATGGCACGTGCCCAGAGGTGACCCGCCAGCCCTACAGCATCCCACAGGCAGGGAGGCTGCAGGAGCTGCCCACTGAGGCCCTGAGGAAACTGGTACTCACGGATCACGCACATCAGTCCACAGCTTTGTGTTTCCTAAGCATGTAGGAGTGGAACAGACAATCCCATAGAGCTGTAGCAAAGAAACTGACTGACTTCAGCTCAGTCACGGGCCGTGCCATGGTGGGAATTCAGGCTGATGGCATTTTCTGGGCACTTCGAGTTCTGAAGGCAAGGATGGAAGCATGCGTTACCTTCCAGAGTCAGTCCCTCACTGACAGAGCCCATGAGCATGAATTGATGCCCTCGGCCTTTGTGAGGTTTATGATGCCTCAGCCCCCCTGTGGGCCCAGACTGGAGGGCACTGGAACACATCCCAGAGCCAGGCTGGCACGGTCTCCTTAGCCAGCTCTGAGGATGTGCAGGGGAAGGGTCCCAGCCCGACCAAGTGGGGACCCCATGAGTTTCCTCAGACCCCTCTCTCTGCAGGCTGCTGGTGGATGCAGCTGTGGTGGCAAAGGACACCGTGGTGTGTGGCTTTGAGAACGAAAACACAGAGTGGTGCCTGGCTGTCTGGAGGGGCTGGGGCGCCAGGGACTTTGACATTTTCTACCATTCCTGCGAAGAGCTCGGCCGGCTGGAGGCCTGCGCGCGCAAGAGAAGGTAATTCCTGCCGAAGAAGCCTGGTGTGGCCCGGCTGGCCGGGACTGCAGCCTCCCGGCCCGCTGCAGTCTCCGGGGACCCAGAAGTCTAGGGGTTTTCCTCCTAACCCCGACCTGCTAAGAAGTGCCGAGAAGTTACCTGCCTGGTGGCGCGGGTGTGGAGTTCTCAGGTTCTGCAGGGCACTTACCCAAGCACTCCGCCTTCCTGTTGCTGGTTTACAGCCTAAGGGAACGCAGTGGGGTCCTCGAGAGGCACCTCCCCGCCTTCCATGGGCTCTAGGAGCAAGGGAGGGGGACCCCATTGTGGGCTGGGTCCCCCAAAAGGAGGCAGGTCCTCCTTGGCATAGTGGAGCTGCCCGTGGGGTTTTCAGCCCCCGTCTCAGATGGAATTACACTAGAGACTCAGGTGAGGAGCAGTTTGGGCAGGGCAGGAGGAGGGCTGGACCCCTGCCCCTTCCCCAACACCCCAGCCTCTCAGCCCATTTCACAAGCTCCAGAGTCCCCAGAGTGGGGCCCGGGTCGGGCAAGCCGAGATCAGGTATCTCCGCTCAGCGAAGTCTGTGTGGGAAACCCCACTCAGGATGCTGGGCGAGGACTGTCACCCAACCCGGGGAATGAATGAGCTCCTTCAAGTGCCACAGCCGGGAAGCCCAGTATGAGAGGGCCACTCACCTTCATTTTTCTCCCACCAACAAAGGGAAAGGGAAACCCCATCTGCGGGCCTAGAGAAAGGGCCATGTGTTTATAGCCTGGTAAAATAACTTGGACGCAGCTGGAGCACAATCCCTATTTGTTTGAACATCATAATCTTGTTTATCACTTTAACAGAATAAGTAATATCTCAGCAGTCACCTCTGGTTGTGAAATCACATTGTAGGGGGCTTATACCAAATCATGGATTTGCTAAACATTTACTGCACATGTGGATGGCAGACTGTGAAAAATGAAGTTGTTCACAGGGGACGGATGGGCACAACAGCAACATTTGTATAAATGGTGTGCATGCACACACACACATGCACAGGCAGCCACATCTTCGCCCAGAGTGATTATTTAAGGCTGCTTGATCCAGGACGGGGAGTTTGGATGTAAGAGCAAACTCTGCCTCAAGTTCTTGAAACTGCTAAAATTAAATTATAAAGATCAAACGTGGGATTTGCTGGGGTGTGCAGGCAGATGTGAGTCCTTGTATCTGAAAATAAACAGACTCTCAAGAATGCAGCTGTGGACTCAGTCTCTTGAGTGCTGTGACAGCAGTGCAGGCTCAGGCCTTCTCGGGCAGGAGTGGGCGCCCCTTCTCAGCCCACTGCTGACAGCCTGCAGCTGCCCCTGGCAGTTCGTTTGCCACAGGCTTGGGGTCCCCACTTCCTTTTCTGAGCCTGGGCCCCAAGTCCTGGGGGTGGAAAGTCTGTGCCTCTCACCCACCTCACCACCTTCTCCCACGCTGCTCCCCAGCAGGGCCTTGGGGATCTCTGCTCTCTACCTATGCCCATACCCCAAGCTGTCCACTTGCCCCCCAAAGGCAGTCCAGGTCCTGTCCGACCCTCAGTCATCTATGCCCTGTGTCACAGACCTGCAGCCTGGCAGCTTTGCAGACACTGAGGCTCTCCCACAGCCTAGCCCTCTTGCTCCTGCCCATGGGCTCAGCTCTGCCCTGGCCTGGGCCCCTGGGATGAGAGCCCTACAGAGCCGGAGGAGCAGACTTCTTCACACCATGCTTCAAAACCATCCAGGAAATGGCCAGTGAACTTGGCTGCATGAAAATTAGGAACTTAATTGGAAAACTTACTACATAGTCCAAAGGTGGGCAACCAACTAGGAAAAATATTTGCAACAAAACAGAGACATAGCTCACTTATATTGCACGCAAAGAGTCTGTACTTCTTAATTAAAAAGAGAAAACCCTATAGGAAAGTGGGAAAGGGCTGAACAGGCAACTGTCACAAAGAAATGCAGCTCCACCCAGCAGTCACAAGACTGCAATCAAATGCCATCTGCTGCCCTCACACTGCAAAGGCTCAAGGGTCAGCAGTTACTTCTTGCACACCTCCTACATGTCAGACATCATGACTAGGACACAGGTTATCATACAGATGAGAACCTCAGCTTCTGGGAGCTTACTTGTGCTGTGTGGGGTGACAATGAACACAAAAAGAAATGGTTCGCTAGTGACGGAGGGGCTGCATTTCACTGAGGCTGTGGGATCCCTGCGTGGGGAAGCACCATCTGAGAAGGGCATTTGTGTGGGGCTCTCAAGGCCCCAGGTGGAAAGGCTTGTACATGCAAAGGCCCTGTGGTGGGGCTGAGCAGATTCTTTGGAGAGACCCGTGAAAGCGACAGGAGAGCTCAGGGACTCATCAAACCCAGAGCTATAACTGTGAGTCTCTGGTGCAGCTTCTGGCAGTTTTAAGCAGGACTCAGACAGTCTCCTAAAGAACCACTTTGACTGCTTGAGTGCAGGAGGAGAGACCAAAGGGAAGTGATCTACATGAGGTCACTTCACAGAGGGCATTTGGCAGAATATGCTACTGTTTCCGATCCACACATACACTGTGACCTGAAGTTCCACTCACCTGTTTAATCCTAAAATGTTTTTGACAGTCCTCACAATTGCAGAGCAGGGGTGTTTATTGCAGCATCTCTCATAATGGCTGAAACAAGAAACCTCCCAACCTCTCAGGGGAGAAGTCAAATTTCTGTATGAGTGACAGTCTGATGCGCTGCAGCCTGATGAGAAAGAGGCAGTGCTGAATGTGCTGCTCTGAAACGCTCTCTGTGGTATAGTATGCGTATTTTGTCTTTAAAAAGAACCTTGCTGTGCAGTGTGTATTTAGTTACCATTCGCATAAAAAATATCCCAGAGCTACGCCTATGCACGTGAAAACTATCCCAGAGGATGCTGAGAACCTTGTAGACTTACAGTGCCTCTGGGGAAGAGAATTAAGGTCTGGCATGGAGGGAAAGGCCCTTTATTTTTACTTTATACCTTTTTCCCTGCACTCTGAATTGCATGCACACCTTTTTATGGTGGTGATCCAAGCTGAAAGGGACTTCTCCCCTGGACCCAGGAAGGAAGCGCCTCACCCTGAGTCCGTCGGAACCTGTGGGGGGTGTCAGGTCCATCCCAGGCAAGGCCAGCCCCGCAGCAACCCTGTCCTGTCCGCCTCGCCTCCAAGGTCAGGCTGACCTGTAACCACCCTAGCTGTCTTTGAGATGCAGGAACAGCCCCAGGCAAGGTGGATGTGCACAGGACCGGACGGGTGTGAGGGGCTAGGGTCAGCCAGCCAAGATCAGTGAGTTCTGACCCTGGTGTCCCCTCGTCCTGCCATCAGGAGAGCACGCAGCCCAGGAACAGGGTCAATGCCTTCCCTGCCTAGCAGACAACACTCAGGCCTCCCATCCACTGTGCTGCATGCCAGAAAGCAGCAACCTGTTGGATGCACTGCTTGCTGGCTGGGCTGGCACCACCTTCCCTGACTACAGATGCTGGAACCTGCAGGATTTTGGCAATGACCCTACCTGGAGGCGTAGCAGACCCTACTTCTCTGTCCTCCAGGGCCAGAGTGCATGCTGCTATGCAGGTCATTCCTCACGCAGGAAGCATTTGGGCAGCCTCAGAGGCAATGTCATGAAACAGACTCCCCCAAGGCTCAGGAAAACCTGCAAGCATGAACTCCCAGATGTGAGCGTGCTGCAGCCCTGGAAGGAGCACATCTTCCAGCATGCCAGGGCCTGGGCCTGACACTCCCTGCACCTCTAAACGCCTAATGATAGTTCCCATCCAAAGCCAAGTCAAGCCAAATCTAGGGGGACGTGGGGGAGTGCATTAGCGATAGTAGCACTTTGACAAGCACTGTGGCAGAATTTGTAGCTGCACCACTTCTGCTCAATGGCAGACCTTGACTGTTCTGGCACTTAGTTTCCCAGGCACCTTTGCAGGCAGAACTGGCCCTGGGCTGAGCTCCATCCAGGGCAATGTGGACATGATGGTGAGGGGCTGAATCGAGAAGAGCCCTTTCGGCCCCACCGGTGCCTCCCTGTACCTTGTAAGAACAACAAGACGGGGCTCCTCCTTGGGGTGCTGGGAGGCCCCTGGGATGGTGATGGGAGGCAGCTCTCTGCCCCAGCCCTGGCTGCAGACCAACGGCTTCTCATGACATCATGAGATTTTAAAAAAACACTTCCTCGTTATGCCTGCATCTTTCAGTTCCCAATGGCTACAGGCAAATCCAATTCCTCAGTGTTCAGATACATTTTCCATTGGCCCTCCCGGAAGACTGCAAGTTCGCAGGTAGGCCGGCGCTCACACACACCTGTGCGTGTTCAGGCAGGGCTACGCAGTGTGGCTGCACAGGCCCCAGCACTGACTTCTGCAGTCACGAGAGCAGGGTGTGATCTGTGAGCGTTCCCCGGGGCAGTAAGCAGTCATTTTGTACCAAAACACGGCTGCAAAGGGGCCTGGGACTCAGCCTCAGCCCCCAAAGGCCCAAATTTAGGGTTTGATGGCTTTGATGTGGAGTTGAAGCCTCACCTTTCGTAAGTTGCCCGCCTCTGTGGCCCTGGTTTCTTCTCAGTGAAACAGCCATGACTGTTCCTCCATCAGGATGGGCTGGGGACCAGGGGAGACCATGTGCTACTGCCCTGGCCCAGCTCCCCACCAGCCCAAGACCTTCTGTGAAATCTTCCCTGAGAAGCAGGCCTGGTTCTGTGGCTGTGAAATAGCCCGCCTGTCAGAATAAATTTGTGCTTTCTGAAATATTGGCCAAACTTTTACTAACACCTTTGTTTGATGATTGAGTTAAGGTGCACACACAAAAATAGACTGATTCATGTATAAGATGATAGCAATATTTAGGAGCCTCATTTTGGGGAACATGTTTGGAAAAATGAAATAAGAATAAAATAAGATAAATTTCCGCCTGGCCGCTGGCAGGCTGTCACCAAGGCTCATCAGGCTGCATTTCGTAGTCCACAGCGGTCGGTTAGTGGGTAGGGAGAGGCCCTGTGACTAGGGATGGCAAGCCAGTGCTGAGAAGGGACATCTGTCACCTGCACTGTTTATGCGAGCTTCCCACGTGCCCCATTCCACTGCCCTGAAATCCAAAGCATGAGCTGAGGAGCTCTCAATCTGCCTTCGTTCTAAGGAAATGCAGCTTCATCCTGCAGCTCTCAGACGACCCACATGGATGCAAAGGGTAAAGCTGGGAACTGGGAACCGGGACCTGGGGGCTCTGTTAACACAGCTCACTCAGCCTGTCCTGATGGGTTTGTGGCTCTGATGCCCCCAGCCTTCCGTACCAGCACCACTGGCTCCGGCTCCCCGAGACAGGCAGCACCTGAAGGGAAGGGGCAGAGAGGTGAAGTCTCCACTGGCAGAGAAGTTCCACCGTAAAAGAAAGGTGTGGGCAGGTGGAAACATCACAGGAGCTTCAAGAAGACCAGACCCAGGCGGGGAGGGACTCGGACCTCTGGGATGGACTCTTGTTGTCAAGCGCACAGCTTATTTAAAAAGGAAGTAGATGCCTATGGTCATCAAAGATATTTTCTAGCTCCATCATTAAGAGTGACCTAAAGAGTAGCACTTTCGTACATCACCAAAACTTGTACACTCTTCTAGGTCTGGAACCTGCGACTGTGGAGCAAGACCACACACACACACGTAGCACAGCATACACAGAGGTACAGAGACCCACTGCACACACAAGGCATGCATATATACACATATGCACATATACAGATACATTCAGCACATGTATGCACTACACACATATACACATCGCACAAATACATATGCACACACCATACCATACCCACACACCTGTACTATACATGCGTATGTACACACAAAAAATTTACAACGGGCCTGGAACAGCCCAGATATTCAAAGGCTTTTAGGGCAGTAGTCAAAAGCCAAAGGAGTTGTCTGAAAAGGAGCTCACTCTGGCCCAGCTGTGACGACTGTTAACTCATTATTGAAATAACACAATGCAATGATATCCAATGAAAGGCAGTGGCGCACAAAAGACAAGTTATTACAAAGCACATAAATGATAGTTGTAATGTATAAGGAAGTTAGATCTCTCAGCACAAGTGTGCTCTGCGATGGCTCTGAAGGCTAGAGGCGTGTGCCTATAAACAAGTGGTGTCTCCTTCCAGCCCATGTGTAAGGTTACCTTGTAAAACATGGCTCCTGTGTGGGTAAGAAGAAAAAGTGAACCTGAGGAACATGCTCTTGGAAGGAGCAGGTCTCGCTGCTCAGTGGCCACCCTGACCACTAGCTAGAAAGGGGGTGGCCAGCAGTGATGGCCGGAGGATGCAGAGAGCCGGCTGTCCCCAGACAGTCCTGAGAATGAGATCCCCACCCCCTCTCAGCACACGCCTGAGGAAGGAACCTGGACTTGGCCTATTCAGATGCTAGCAAGATGTGTTTTCCATGAAGCTAGCGAAGCAGATCAATGTATCTTTGAGACGTTTTACCCGGGGGATATCAGCCTGCAAACACACAAAGGTTTGGGAAATGCCAGAGTTTCTGGCAGTCCACAGCTGAGACCACTGAGCTCTTTGTGAGGAAAAGACACTCAGGCTGATGCCTGGGCTCGGGTTCCAGCCCCTGCCCAGAGAGAACTGTGTCCGCATCCTTATCCAGCCACACTGAGGCCTGGCCTCTCCTCCTGGGCTCGGCAGAGGTTACTGCAGGCCTAGGAAGGCTTGGACACCCTGGGAAGAGCTATGAACACCAGTGAGAAGTTGGTATGGGGTAAGGAGGAAAGAAGGAACTTACGACCTCAGCATGGGTAGCTTTAGAGCACAGTGGTCTCTCCGCATCTGTGGGGCCTGAAACTCTGTGGGGCCTAAAACTCTGAGGGATAAACATTTCATCTTGGAATAAAAACAAACAGGTGTCTGTACCAAACATACATCGGCTCTTGGCATTCTTCCCTAAATGATGCTGTATTCCAGCTATGTACGTAGCATTTGCTTTGTATGGGGTATTATAAGCAATCTAGAGGTGATTTAAAGTATTTGGGAAGACTGTGTATGTTCTATGCAAATACTGCACCATTTTATTTCAGGGACTTAGCATCTGCAGCCTTTGATGCCCACAGGTGGTCCTAGAACCACTTCTCTGTGGATACCAAGAGACAATTGCATTTGCTGTGTGACCAATATAATATTTTAGATGTTTGTCTCTTTCTTAAGGTGTGAAGTTGGCCTGATATTTTAGACTTTGATTTTAATTAAATGTTTACAAGTGGGATTTAGTAAGAATTTAAAATCAGTGTTTAATTGGAGAAATTATCAGGACTCGAGTGTTATGTATTCAAGTCAGGCACAGTGGCTCATCATGCCTGTAACCCCACCTACTGGGGAGACTGAGGCAGGAAGGTCACAAGTTCAAGGTGAGTCTAGGCAATAGAGCAAGGCCTTGACTCAAAACAAAAATTAATAAGTAGAAAGGGCCGAGGATGTTAGCTCACTGATAAAGCCCTGCATAGCCCTGCATCCAATCCCCCTTAGCGCCCCAAACCAAAGTGACGTGTTCAATGTAGAAGCAGCGTGTTAGCATTTAGACGGGTTAGCTCATGTTTAGTACAGACAGTCGGGAGGCTCACAGCATGCAGACAGTGACACGATCCAGCAGCACCCAGCGGGCATCCAGGTGTGCTCACATCTGTCAGTCAGAAGTAGACAGGACGGAGTCGCTTCGGCTTTGCTGGAATGCCCTCACCTCAGAGCTAGAGGCCGGAAGATCCAGAGGATGAGGCGTCCTGTACCACCCTCCCCACAAAGCACAGTCACCTCTCTCCCAGGCTGGACGGCCCCCTCCCCTGCACCCTAGGAGCCCAGAGGTCCCCGAAGAGATGTGAGTGATGAAAGACAGACAGACAGGTGCCGTGCCAGGCACGTACCTGTGCGACTCTGCAGAGTGAGGCTACAAGGTGTGGGACGAATCAGCCACCTCTGAGAGGCTGGGACAGCCCGCCACTACCCCGCCTGGACACCTAGGCCTCTTCTCCCTACCTAGTGACTGGAGAATGCAGACCCAATCAGGAGCCCACAGTTGGGCACCGTGGCCCCTGAGGTCTTGAGCCTTTCTGGGGGGAAAGGCAGGGTGCAGGAAAGCTGTTTCTGACATCATTGCTCAGATGTCCTCTCTTACCTACAGGAAGTAGTGAAGTCACATTCTGAAGAACAAGGGGTCGGGAGTTTAGGATATGCATTTTCAAGGGTCACAGTTCAGTCCAAAATACCCTCCTCATTCCAAAGGCGCTATGGTGGCACCTATGCAATATAACAACCAGCCGTTTAAAGAAAAGAAAATGCGCTTACAATATAGTAAGTGAAGCAGGGAAGCCTTGGGATTCATGTTAATAAGAAATTGTTCAGAATATTTTTTATTTATCAACGTATAGATATAGATGAAAAGGCAAGAAAGACATAGACCAGACTGTTACTAATGGTAATTTCTGACGTGAGATTAGTGCTCATTTTTATTCTTTTTCTTCTGGCTTGTCCCAATTATTTATTTTGTAAAAAGAAAAAAAATCAGCTGTAAAAATATTCACTTTTCATAACTATAGAGTTACTACTGGACCAACGAGTGCACAATCTTGCTGCGATTAGTCCGCTTTGGGACTCTGAGCATTCTAGCAGACAAAAGAGTACTTTTGTTGGAGATCCAGCTTCCAGAATCCAGAAATAATCCACTATTCAAGTGATAGCCAGTCATCTTGTTCCTGTAAGGCTGAACAGGAATCTTATTTCTCCCAGGAGAGGCTGTATGAGGCACATTCTGCGGTGCAGAGGATGAAACCCTCATGGTGAGACACAGAAGCCATTTCCTGGAGCCAACACTTCTGCCTTGGGTGGGGGCTGCTGCTGGCCCATCCAATCCCAGCCCTCGTGAATGTTGACCCTTGAATGCCAGTGGCATAGGTGCCAGGCCTCAGGAGAGTCTGGTCAGACCCAGGGGCACTGGGATACCTGGAAGGGGATTTGCACACCCTCCAAACCCACCTCCTGGGTCCAAGTTTCCGAATGAGAGAGAGGGCAGCTGCCACAGACACCACACCTCCCACAAGCATGGATGGCATGCACCGGGCAGTGCCCACCCAGCATAGACCCCACAGAGCTGGCAGCGGCTTCTGTCAGCCTCCAGGGCCAGGCTTCCAGCTGCGCGCTGCATATTGGAGGACTTTCAGATCGCCGCCATCCAGACCCCACTTCCCTGCCTGCCATTTACAAGGACTAAGGCCCAGGGCCCAGACTCACATGACCACCTCTCCCTCTCTTGTGGGTGGCCTCCTTCTCCGTGGAGCTCTCTCAGGAGGTGCTTGGTAAATGCTGGTGGCCCAGTGTGTTCTGCTATTTCCACTGCCTGGATTTATGGCTGTCATCCAGCTCCCTCTGGACACCTGTCCCCACATGCTCCTCAGATCCCTACTTCCGCGTCTAGGCTAGCTCAGACCCTTGGCCCAAGGCTCCATTGGTTCTGGGATACACTAGCCCTCCATGGGCTGCTCCCAAGAGCCGTGGTCCCTCAGAGCGCTCGGTGGGACCAGGGCGCTCCCAGCCCATGCCACCAATGTTCCATCAGTGCCCCTCTCTGTGCCCCTCACTGGTGATGGCCAGGTTCTTTCTTCAGCTAGATCAATGCATGCCCACGGTGGCCAAGGCCTGGGGCCTCATGGCCACTCTCCTCTAGGGGAGTCGCCATATTCTCCACCCCAGTGGCCACGGCCCACCACTTGGTAGCTCCCTGGCCTGCATTAATCAGCTTCCCATCACTAGAAATGAAATGCCTGAGATAACTACCCTACAAGACAAAAGGCTGACTTAGCTCACTGTTCCAGGGGTTGCAGCCCCAGACTGGGGAGAGGGTGGGGGTGCCCGATGACAGTGGTGGTGAGCACACAGTGGGGCAGAAATTCACCTCAGACCCAGGAAGCAAAGAAAAAGACTGGAAGTACCAGGGTCCCTAAGGCCCCTCAAGGGCACATCTCCTGTGACCCAAGCACTTCCCACCAGCTCCACCTCCCAGCAGCCCCACCTTAACACAGGGACCTTGAGAGACACCAAAGCACAGCAGGGCCTTGGCGTCCTGGCCTACACGTGGGAGGCTTCCAGGGACAGAACTCCATGTGACTCGGCGCAGTGGGGCACAGCAAGAGCAACAAATGTGCAGCTCATCCAGCCCTCAACATCAGTGATCCATTTCCTTGGTTTCATGAGCCTCGGATGCATGTTCCTGGGCTCGCAAGCACCACATTACCTGGCTCCACTCAGCTCTTCACCACATTCCTAAGGAAACCAAAGCCCAAAGCCAGCAAGAAGGTCTGGCGTTTCTCAGCTGGGGCCAGCACGAAATTTGTATCTTTGAACTCTGGCTGCAGATGGGATTTGGGACTCCCAGTGTGTCCCTCCTGGACTCAGGTTCAGCGCCCTCTCTGGCGTCATCTGGAACTTCACAGTGCTTCTCCTAGTCCTGGCAGGCCGGGTATGATTGACTTTCCAGGAGGCACTTTCTGCTATGTCTGACCCCTGCCTTCCAAGCCCACACCAGTCCCAGAAGAGGACCCTAGACAGCGCTGCATGTGGCCCTGGTGTCCACAGCACAGGGCAGAGCCAGCCTCTGCACGTCCTCCTCTGAGAAGTGGTGTGTACCTTGCAGGGTGAAGCGACACCCATCCCACTGGCCGGAATGGCCCTCCGCCAAGTGCAGCCAAGGCCTGCTCTGACACCCTTCTGCTTGCACAGCGCAGCCTCCGCCCGGGGGCTGCAGAGGAGACTAGAGGAGGAGACAAGAGGTGGGATGGTTGGAACCAGAAACCACCCCCACCTCTGCAAGAGCCGCCTCGGGCCCGAACGCCTCAACTCAGAGGTGGCTGGAGAAGTGAAAGCAAATGGACTCACTGTCTAGATTTTATTTATAAAAATCATTTACATTTGATCTAAAGTACACTGAGGTGTGTGCTGCCCTCACGGAAATGTATCTGCTCCTCAGTGGACCTGGGGAGCGCATGAAAGACTGGAGCAGCCTTCACATTGCTGGTGACATGTGCAGAGTTGTCCCCGTGAAAGGGGAACCAGTAGCATGCACTTGGCAAACTGCCACCCTCCATCACAAGAGAGGAGCCCGGGACCCCTGAGCACAGGGAGGGACAGCTGAGCACAGGGGCCTCTGCTTGGCCCTGTCACCCCAAAGCCCAGCGCCCCGTTTATCCCAAACCTCCCCCTTGGGGTTGCACCAAGGACCAAAGGATTTGCTGGAACCCAGCCCAAAGGCTGTTCCTCAATATGGTGGACGGGCAGGGTTTGGAGACACAGACCCAGGTTCCAATCTTGCCTCTGCCATTGCCCACCCAAACCCAGGACAAATGTCTCGGCCTCTGACACCCCTGTTCCCTGCTTGACAAAGCAGGAAAGTGACAGGGCTGAGCTAGCTATTGCACACAGTGGGGCACACAGTGAGGACTCGGCAGTAAGGGTGTGGGCACCAGAGACCTCCACTGAGAGGGTCCTGTGGGCGTCACGTCCCTCGGGGGCAGTGTCTCTTGGCTGACCAGGGGATCACCAGCTGCCACCCTGGTGCAGGAAGGAGGCCCCTGAGCCTTTCCCGTCAGCACTTCCTGGGAACATCCACAGACTGCAGCCGAAGACCCGTGTCACTCACACTCATGCGCACACTCTCTCACCCTGGCAGCCTTTGCGTATCCAGAGCAAGCATTGTCTCCGCCTCCTGTCCACTGCTCAAGTCATGGAGGACACCCAGAGTCAGCGCTTGGCCATGACCATTCCCGTCCTCAGCCACTGCCCAAGGCTGTCCCTGCCACCCGTACTCAGGCAGCAAGCCCCTTCAGAGAGACTCCCACCCTGGCCAGACAAAACCGCGCCACCGCCTCCTCCCCCTCCCCGGAAGGAGCTGCATGAAGGTCAGGCCCGGACTGTGAGGACTTTCGGGGAGACAGGAGGGTTGATTCAGAGTGGCGCCTGGGGGCTGGGTGCAGAGACTTCCGTGGGGTCTCCGCGCAGGTGACACGTTTTGCTCCCCAGAGCCTGTGATGGCAGGACCCTGCCTCTCCAACTGCCATGGAAGAGCTCAGCCAACCATGGTAACCAGCAGCTGGGGGCCTGGCCAAGAAGAGCCGCTGTTTGCCAAAATATAAGAACTCCTGTCCCTTCGCCGGCGCCCCAGGAAGAGGGAAGTCTTTCAGCTTCTGCACCCCTTACCAACATTCCACTCTCGGGTGCAGTTCTCACCGTCGCCGCCAGGGGGCGCCCCGTGCAGAGCAGCGCTGTCCTGAGTTCCCACCAGCCCTGGGCTGGGCTGGCAGAGAAATGGATGCCCCTGGGCTCCTGGGCCTTCTGAGAAGAGTTTGTGGGCGTGATGAGCTTACTTTACCAAGTGTTCCCGAGTATGACCCCACCTGGGAGAGAAGGAACCCTTGTGGCCGCGTGTGGACATGAGCAAACACCAACCCCCGCGGCAGCACAGCCGCGGCCGGAGGCCCACAGGAGCCCTGTGTGCCTGGGGGCGGGAAAGGGGCTCTTCTGGAAACTTTCTCATGGACGGCTTGCATTCCTTGTGCAAGAAAGTTGTAAAACTGTAATTTGGCTTCTCTGCACTTCTATCACAAGCTTGTTAAATCTGCTCTCTGTGACAAGCACGTGATGTGTGCGCATGTGTGTGCTTTCCAGTGTGCACGTCGTATGCTGTGCACACACACGATTCAGTCCCTCTCACATGCAGCCTAATGGCCAGGCACATGGCCAGGCAGGGCCCTGGGTCCACTCTGGGGGCCTTGGGTGACCTGAGTGTCATGACACAAAGGAACAGAGGAGATAATGGAGGAGGAGTCAGGAAGCTGGAGGAAAAAAATAATTGTTCCTGTAACAGCCTCTGGACAAAAATAGCTTCTAGAACTACAAAGACCCCGGATGTTCACAGCTGGGACCTACCAATCCTTGCCCTGACCTCAGTACTCCTCAGAACTCCGCTACCATCACAGAAATTATTCTGCAAAGCAGAGCCTGTCCCTTACACAGCCAGGGCAAGGGATGGAAAAAGGTGCAGTCCCAAGGCCCCTCACCCTCAGCTACAGAGGGAGGCTGTCGGCAGGAAGCTCTGGGTCTCTGGGGGACCCTCCAGCCCCCACCCTGGTTGGCTCCAGGGTGAGGCTCTGCTGGGCAGCCCTCCTTCCAGCACCACAAATCGAGAGCCAAGAAACACAAGACCCAAAGCCACAGGAGCAGCCACAGATTTTGAGGGAGGCTGGCCAGGCCCAGGCAGGCCAGGATAATTCACTAAATCCAGTGGCCCTTGGGCTCCTGTTAACCCTGAACTTGCCCAGCTGTGAGGAAAGAGAAAGAGGTCCCCCCATGCTCTGGGGCCCAGCTCCCTCCTGGGCCTGTGAGGAACTGCCCAGCAGCTGTTACGCCTGTCTGTGCAGCTGGATTGTGGGTGGGCTGAGCAGAAAGGCAAGCCAGGGGGACTGTGTCAGATGACCACAGCAGATCTCACATCCCTCATCTGTCCCATTCAGAGGTGGCATCTTTGTCCTTCCCTCCTTGAATCATGAGGGTCTATGACTTTTTCTAAACAATAGAACGGGGTAGAGATGAAGCGGCCTGACTTCCAAAACTCAGTCAAAAAAGGTAGTGAGTGTGGGCACTCACTTCTGAAGCCCTGAGCCACCAGATGAGGCCGCCATGCTGTGAGGGAGCCCAAGCTGCACAAAGGTCATCACTGGAGAAGACACCTTCAGATGGTTCTAGACGTTTCATCCTCCTCAACCATGGAATCTTTGAAGTTGAGGCCTCAGACATTACAGGGTAAAGACAAATGTCCCTGCTGTGCTCTCTCCAAATTCCAGACCCACAGGACCATATTGTGGGAAGACACTGTCATATACTACTAAGTTTTGGGATGGTTTATTACCACACAGCAGTGACTGGAACAAGTGGCCAAGAAAGAGGGTCAGAAAGCTGCAGCAATCAACCTTCTTACTCCAAATGCTGTTGGGACCCAAGAGGCCAAGGGTGATTGGAGAGCCGACCCTTCCTCGGCAGATTAATGACCCTTCCTCAGGGACCTGAGTGCTGTCTCTCAGGGCACAGCTTCACCATGAGCTGCCATGGCTCCAGGCCCAGGGAACCAGTCAGCAGCCCTTCAGGCCTGAGAAAGAGGCTGGTGACCAAGGACTGGCCGCTCACGCTGGCTCAATGTTTCTGGGCCAGATGGTTGAATGAGGGCTCAAGAGTCATGGGCTACGATAGCAACCAATGCCTCCAGAGTGCCAAAAGCAAACTACTGCGGCTGTGGGGTGGCAAACTTGGACAGGAAACACACCTTGTATTTGCCATTTGTTTCTGGCCCAGACTGCTGCTGGGATCCTTCTGTCATTGGCCACTGTGAACCCTCAGGAGCAGAAAGGACAGAAGTTTGTAGGAAAGGAGAAAGGACGGCAAGCAGGTGGCTGTGGCTATTAGGTGGGTTTGCCAGGGGGCTGGGAGCCTGACCAAAGCTCCCAGCTCCAGGGCCCAACTGACCAACAGCAGCCGGGGCCACAGGAAGTCAGCAGCTGCCTTTGCTGGCCACCAGACTGTCTGCAGGCAGGAGCCCCGAGAAGCTGCCACACAGATGCTGTTATTCTCCCTGCTGAGAGGCCAGCCGGGACTCGAGCGGGAGAGAGCTCCGAGGTGCGGGTTTGGCCTCACAGGATGTGGAGCCGGAAACACCCTTGACCTTCTCCCATCCCCGCAATGCACCTGGGAAACAAAGGCCCAGCGAAGCTGCCCCCCCAAAATGTGTTGTTGCCGGAGCAACCTGGCCACAGTGCTGACCAGCCTGGGAAAAAGTTGTTGTTCACTGTGGGGGGTGGGTGTTTGTTTTCTTTTGATTTTCTTTTTTAAAGCCTAGACCAAATCAGCTTTTTAAAATGCTGCTCCAGGGCACTGTGCCTTTCGCAGATGGCCTGAAGGGAGAGATCTTGGGAGAGTGCAGTGGACAGCATTCAAAGAGAAATGCTCACAGATTTCAAAATAGCTGTGCACTGCTCCTGCCTCCCGACACGCACTTTGTCCTGTGTGTGCCTGAGACCACAGGGCCAGCCTTGCATGTGCCCATCTTGTTCCAGTGGAAGCTTTCATGTAGGAATGAAGTCAGAAGACCACAGATTTTGCCCGAGATCTGGTGCAGGGGCCATATTTCTCTTCTGAGAGAAGGTAGGAAATTTAACACGAAGGAGGTTATTTGTCATTATTTCACGTTGCCACACAAGTTCAGTTCATTGTCACATCGGACCAAACAGCAGCACTAATCCAGGCCTGTTGGTGAGAAGAGATCAAGATAGAATGAAAATCATTATTACAGAGTTAGGGTTTCCCTTCTTTCACAGAAAGCAAATCCATCTTTAGGAGGTGCCTTCTCTGCCTGGGCTCTGGACTGGAGGCTCCTTCCATCATTTAGACAAGCTCAGAGCCCTGCTGAGCTGAGCAGGGTGACACCTTCTCAATTCTGAGCTGCCACCATGGTGCCCAGCATAGGCCGTTAGCTCCCAGACCCTAATTCTAGCCTGATGGGGCTTCAGTACCCTCCTCAGGCCCACCATGCTGCCCCTCCCCTGAGGCGCCCCTATGGCTGAGTGGTGATGTGGCAGCTCGCCAGCCTCCATCTGCAGGACTGAGCCAGAGAAGGGAGAGAGAGCAGCCAAGCGTGGGGGTGTACTTCCAGGTGCCCTTTCTGCTTACTGGACGCATCAAGAGCAAGACACAAGAGAAAGAATTCAAAGTGGGTCAAGCCATTCCTACCAGAAATACTGTCCATCAGCTCCTAGGTGGCTGTGGCTCTCCTGTATGGATGACCACAAGTGAGAATGCCCCAGAGCAACCCCAACTGGGAGATCATGGTGGTCTAGAAGAGATCTGAGGTGGTGGGGGTCAGCAGAGCTGGTGACGAGCTCTGAGATTTGTGGCTTGTCCCTGGGACTGGGCCCACTTCTGGTTCCTGCTGGATGAGGTCAGGAGAACAGAACAAGCCTCCACCTCAAGCCTGTACAACCAACTGTCCCAGGGGTTGGGTGTAGGTAGCACCAAGAAGATGAGATGCTATAAACAATAAGTTAGAACAGTAGCCAGAAAACCCAGGAATGAATGAATGATGTGGGGAGATTGCATCAAGGTGACTGATGAACAATATTTGTCCTCCTGCTTCTCCCCTAAATTCTAAAACATACAAAAAAGGTGTTTAGGAGAATAAATTAATTCCTGGCACTGCTAGGGAAAAGGGAGTTGTAACTGGCTGTATTTTCCAAGATGGCTATAAGAATATGTTTCATTACACATGCTTTTCTTACAAGAGACTCTGACACTTCCCATCCATCACTGGGGTCTCTGTTTCTTCTCCTGGAGCCTTAGTGGAACTGTGACATGACTGCAGCGGAAGTGAAGCCATGGTTCATAAAATCTGATTCCATTTCTGCCTGGACTTCTGACCGTGCTTGTGAGACTCCATGCTGTGAGAAAGCTCAAGACTCATGGAGATGATGTTCCTTCTCACACCCTAGAGGAGTTGGGCCCCAGCCACCAACTCACTGCGATCCTATGGAAGCCTCTGAGCAAGAGCTACCTAGATGAACCTAATCAACTCGCATGGCCATGAGAGAACAATACAAATGACTGTTACCACAGCCACTGTAATTTAGAATGATCTGCTGCTCAGCAATAATAATATAGCAATAGCAATAGTCAACCAGAGCACAGATGCAAAGTGGACCAGAGGTCTAAAAACTTGGGATCAGACTGAAGAGGAAAACAAAGCCTCAAATTCTAGAAATTGAGGGAACAGCTTTAGAGTGCTTCTAGTTTATCCAGGACAGGTACAGGGGACAGACAGAGCCCCAACTCTGTCTTAGGGTGTCTCCATTCAGAAGACCATTCAGTGGCCCTCCTCACCAGGCAACACATTCCTGCTTCTCACCCACAATAGCTGCAGGAAATGGATAAACCACTTAACAAAGGCACCAACAGGAAATCCCAGAGTCTAAGATGGGCACTTCATGAAAACATTCTAAATAACTGAGAAAAACCCACTACAACATAGAGGTAAGAATCCCAACCAAGAAAATACTTTTTAAAAGTAAGGTATTGAGACAAAGAGATGAAGGTTTTAAAGCATAATAAATATATTTAGAAAAAGATCAGGCTGCTATAAAAAAGAGAGCCAATGAAAGCTCTTCAAAACTAGACATTTGATTATCAAAATAGAGATGGACAACCCTGAAGAATAGTTCTTAAAATTAAGGACAAAGCAGCCTTCAGAATATCATACAAAAAGACAAAGACATGAGATGTATGAAGGAAATGTGGAGAGGGATGGAGGATAGATAGATGCAGGAGTTAAAAACTATCTAATACAAGGTCCCTAAGAAGAGTGAGTCAGAAAAACACAAAAAGAAACAGTAGAAGAAAAATTTATTGAAACTTGTTCCCAAAAGGCTTAAGAAGATACTGAAAACATGGATAGATCAATAGAAACAGTTTTGGGTAGAAATGAATGATTCACCTATTTTTAATAAAGTACCCAGACCCACTCATTTTTATATGCACTCTCTACCTAACCTTTAGGAAGCAATTACCATCTGAGGTAAACTATTTCAGAGCATACAACAAAATATAAAATAAGCCAACACATTTTCCAAGAAGAACAGAACTTAATACCAAAACTGGAAGACTACACATGGTCATGGATGCAAAGATTCTAAGGTACAGTTTGCCCTCTGTGCCTGTGAATCAAAAGTATTGGGGGGAAATGCATCTATACTGAATATGTATACTTTTTCATTTTTGTTATTCCCTAAACAATATAATATGACTATTTACATAGCATTTACATTGAGATATTGTGGGAATGTGACTAAATTCATTTATGTTTCATGTATGCTTTATATGTATAGCCTAAAGATAATTCTATAAAATATTGTAAGTAATTCTCTCCATGAAATAAGAGTCATGCTGTGGAACTGTCCAGTTGTGATACTGTGGCAGTGCTCAGAAAGTTTCAGATTTGGGGCTTTTCAGCTATTCTCAAACTCTGTCTTACAGGACTGCTGTGAAGATCCAATAAGAAAATGTGTGTAAATCACCTGGCCCAAGGAAGTTTTCAATAAAATGTTAGTTATTTCCTCTCGTTGGTTGCAGAAGTTCATGCAAATTCAATTTCAGATGTAAAATCCAGGAGTGAACTCTCCTCCGATTACATCTATCTGTGCCACATCTAATCAAGAACCTGCCACAGAGCCAAACCCCAAGAAGGCAGGAGAGGAGCCATGTATGCAGCCGAGGGCCTGGGGGTTTTGCAGCCAACTAAAAACTCACTCATGGGGCTGGCCAGTGGCCCTGGCATAGTCACCATGGGTGTGGCGGTGACAGTGCTCAGGACAGTCAAATGCCAGAGGTAGGAGGCTGCAGAAATGGTGCCAATCGAGAAGCTGCTGAGTACGCATTATTTACCTGTTGCCTATTTTGCCAATAAAACACCTGATGCTCAGAGCAGTGGGGTGACTGGGATCACACAATGGGTGGCAGGCTCCAAGGGCCCAGGCCTCTCTCCAAATGCCACTGGAAGAGAATCCACACCAGATCAGGAACCCATATTCCCAGCTGAAGGCAAAGGGTCTCTCTGTTGGGATTCAGCGAGGTGCTTTGACAGCCTGATTTGGCTGGAAGACCCCAGAAGACAACTGGCCTCTCCTGCTTGTGCCAGTCCCTGGTTATATACTCACCCTTTCTAAGTATGGCAGGGGACACTGCAGGCTGTCTGCAGATGAGCCCTGGCATGGCTTTCCCTGCTGGGCAGAGTGGGCAGCTGGGGAATTGGAAGCCTGCTTAGCCACTGCTAGGGAAACTGAGATGCCACTGTCCCCTCAGACCAAATGGTCATGCTTCTCAGGAGGATAGCCAGAGTCTACTTGCCTTCAGCAAGGACAACACTGGCTCCCAGAATGTTGGTGGCTGTCACAGCTGCTCCTCACCATCAGAAGCCATCTGTCATGGGCACTGTAGCTCCTTCCTTGGCCAGGTCCCACAAACAAGGCTGGCTCTGGAGGTCTGCTCCATGGTGACAGCTGGGGTCCCCGGTGCCAGGGGAAGTGGGACAGATGCAAACCCTCTGGTTCTCAGGCCTGAGGCCAGAGACAAGCATGAGCTGAAGGCAGGACAGGAGCTCATTCATTCTGGGCCTGCTCTGAGACGTGGAGGCTGCAGGTCCTGCCAAGGGGCCAGGGCAAAAGGGAGGACAGGAAGGGCTCCTGCCCAGCCTGCCTGGAACTGACCTGCTCAGGACAGAACAGCCTGTGGTGGAGAGGTCAAGAGCCCAGCACATGAATCACTGCAGAAGTCTCCTCCATAGAGCAGCACAAGCAGTTCCCCACGCCAAATGAGGACCCTGGAGTCCCACACTGAGGCTCTGCAGCTCCAGGGGCTTTGGAGGTGAGAACTGGAATTAAGCGAGAAGTTATGGTATGAGTCCCACCTTCACCCTGCAAAGCAGAGGAGAATAGAGAATGTGTTCCTTTTCGCCTTCAATCACATGACCAGGGCTCAAAAGGAACCCACAGACTCCTGCTATGTTTTCTGTGCAGAGTTGGACATACGGTGGGTGGAGGACCCCATAACCCAGGAAATCTAAGAACATACACTGGGCCGGCACCCTACTCTGACAGCAGGGCAGGGGCCAAGTCAGACTGCACCTCCAGGGTCAGACCAGAAGAGATGGGCCCACTGGGGCTGGGGATTTAGCCCAGTGGTTTCCCTGCCTGCTGCACAACCACAAGGACCGGAGTTCTATCCCTGGTACCAAAAAAAAAAAAAGAGAGATGGGGCCATAGTGCTGGGCAGCTGGTGAGGCCAGAGGTGCCAGCCCACGGGGAAATGAGTCCACCCAGTTAGGGCACTCAGCACGGCCTGCCCTGGGGACAGTGGCATGAGGCATCCCCAGGGGAACTCGTGCCCGGAAAAGAAGGCTGCCCACACCAGGCCACAAGGACAATGGTGATTAGATGACAGCTGCCCTGCCATCTTCCCCTCTTCTCCCGGTGAGGATGGGGTCAGAACTGGAGTGAGAGGAGGAGGTGGAGGTGGAGGTGGAGGCGGAGGCGGAAGAAGAAGAGAAGATGCTTCCATCTCCCCTTCCCCGCCCACGGTTCCTGCGGACGCCACTGAAAGCCGCCACAGGGAAACAGGCGCGTGCATCTTCAATGTCGCAGGGAGGACACCCACACCCTGGGCGGCCACGGGTCCCACCGAACAGGGCAGAAGACTCTGAGGGCTTGGCTCACACGAGTGCCTTTGGGGAAGGCAGGACGCAGGGAGGGAGAGCGCTGTGAGTGGTGTCCCCACATACCTCCTCTGCAGGGAGGCAGCCGGGGGGAGGTAAGGATGCCACCTCGCTCATTCCACCTGGAAGGCGATGACTGCCGGCCTCTGGGTTGTGCAGTGACCTGGTTCCTGTCAGTGCTTAGGCACAGTCTTGAGAGGCCTCGCCCTGTCATACTCACGTCGAGGAGGACCTCGCCCGGGTTGGTTCTCTGTGAGACTGTTAGTGCCCACAGGACACCAGGTGCGGGGGGAGCGCCAGGCAGCCCCAACAGTACTAGGCCCAGCTCGAGGCCCAGGGGCTGCTTTCCTTTTCCTCAGTGATGACAGCAGTCCTCAGTGTGGCCTGCAAGGCCCTGTCTGGTCTCTCCTCTTGCTTGTCCAGACTCACCGCCCTGCCCCATGAAGTGCACAGGAGCCCGTTGTTCTGAACCAACCCTCTGTACTAGGCCTCAGTGGACCAAGCCAGAATGGAGTCCCTCATGCTAAGTGCCATGTAACCAAACTGAACTCCAAACCAGGCTGACTTCCAAACAAAACCAGGAGATTGGCAGCAACTAATCAAAAGGGCCCCAGTGGATCTGGGCCGGCAGGCTGAGGACTTTTCTGTTTTTACCCTATGAGGAAGCAGCTTGAAAGCAGCCAATCCGCTTTGGGTTTTGTTTCTGCTTTCTGGAGCCCATTTGTCTACACAGACAGACTTCCCTGCTCGGTCATCCATGGGAGCACTCATTCTATTTTAGAACCACAAATAAAAGCCAGTTAAGATCTCTAAGCTGAATTTGTTGTCATTCTGTCTTGTGATTCGCTGATGCTACACTGCCAAACTGGTCTTCCATGCCCTCAACACGCCCTTTCCCAGGTCCTGCATCCCCCACCTGCCCTCCAGGTCCCAAATGCCACTTTTCTAAACATCCCCAGGACAAAGCCTCCTGGCTCCAGCCTCTGTCCACCACTGGCGAAATGGTGCATTTGTTCCCGTGGGCCCTTCCTGTGCAGCCCCACTGAAATAGCAAACGGCACCAAAGCAGAGATGTTTTCTCTTGTGTTCACCATCGATTCCCAGCATCTACTTCAGTGCCTGGCACTCACTCAATAATTGTTGGATACTATTTATACTTCAAGAGGAAAACAGGCCAAGAGGTTCACTGAAAACACTGTCCGCAGCCAGCTATTGGGAAGGTTTGTGAACCAGGGTAGACATACTGTGATGGATTGGTGATGTCTGACACAGGCATGGCGCTGGAAGGAAGCACACAGATTCCCACACCTAGAACCATGATCTGTGAACCAGAAAACCCAGAATATTCTCCCTCATAGGTTGCAGAGCAACCAGACCCCAGAGCAATATTCATCATCCCCACAGATTGTGTTTGACGTATTTGAAAGATCCTCTGATAAATCTGAAGCATGTATTGTTAATACTCACTAAAAATAGCATTAAAATAGAAAATCCAGGCCAAGCCAGGCATAGTGCCCCATCCCTGTGATCACAGTACTCTGAGATGCTGAGGAAGGAGGATGGAAAGTTCTAACCCAGTCAGGGCAACTGAGCAACTTGTGGGGACTCTGTTAAAATTAAAATTAAATGAATAAATAGAGAGCTGGGATGTAACTCAGTGCTAAGGCCCTGGGCTCAATCCTCCATACTGACAGGAAGAAAAAGAAGGAAGGAGGGGAAGGAGGGAAGAAAAGAAAAAGAAACGAAAAGGCGAGGGAAGGGAAAGGAAGGGAAGGGAGGGAAATCTAGGCTCATTACACCAAGACAGAAAGTTTTGCCTTGGAAATGGCTACTGACTTTGAATACTAAATAGAATCTTGATTTCCTGCCGTGTTACGGAGTGCTTTAGTTTTCTGTAAGGCTCCGTGAGTGAATGGGAACTGAGTAGGCACCATGCAGCACTTCTAAATTAAAAGCACCGTCCCTCTCAGACACATTTTGGAGTTGACAATGAACTCAAAACCAAATGAGCAAGCAGCAACATGGTGGTTGCCCTGCCCCATGGAACACCCAGGGCTGCCACACTCATGGGGCTAACGCTGCTTCCAGGGTTTGGGCAGTAAACACTGCACTTTCCATAGAAATAGACGAGAATGTGCAGATATTCCAGTCTCTCTGAAGCACATTTTCTGGGTCATGTTTGGGAAGCTGGGGGGCTCTGAGTCGCCATCTGTACTCTGCTTCATTTGCAAAATTGCTGCCTGCAGAACAGCCTTGTATGTTATCATAGGACTCATTCCCTTGACCACCCCAAACCGAGGGACGCACACTCTCCAGAGTGGAACGGAACGTGCTCCATAGCAGAGCCAGGCTAGAGATGAGAGTACCCAGGGTCAGCTGCAACAGGACCCCTCCTCAGACATCTGGACAGGCAAACCACTTCGAGGTCCAGCTGCTCCAGAAAGAACCCTTCACATCAAATGGACATCCCAAGGGGGCAGCCAAGCATCCAGGAAGGAGCCCTGGCATTCAGACCTAGTCATGAGGGACGTTTCCCTGTACGCGGAGTTCCTCATGTCTGGTGTCTGGCACCACATGAGCCCTTGAAGTCCAATGCGTCCACCATCAGTCCTCACTAGAGAAGCTCTTTCCGGATGTGAACTGGCTACTCTCACCCTCCACGGGCACACCCTGGTGGTGAAGCTGAATGCCTTGGGCCAGGGACTCCCACTCGTCACAAGTGAATGATGGTTCAGGCATTGTCCTTATCTGATTCCACTGTGAAGAAAGTGGACAAGGAGATGATCTGGGTTTTCACCTGGAAGCCCCAGGGTGTCATTCCATCAGCAACATCTGTGGTTCCTGGCTAGCCTTGGGTCCTGTCCCCGAGTCACAAGAGGAGGATGGTGAGGGAGGGGAAACTGAGTCGGGCAATTAAACTCACAGCAGACTCAGATTTTAAAACAGAACTTACAGTTCATTCATTGACCTTTAGGGTGCTCTTCTCAAGGGGCTGAGACATTGATTCCTCAGGAGGATTGTGGCTGGAATTTCCAGAAAGCCAAGTCATCGGGATGGCACCAGGTGAGTATCATATGGGAACTCAGAGGGTGGGAAATCGGAGGGGGTCTGCTCTGGACCAGGGTGGAGCCCCACGAAGTTTGGAGCCCCAGTTGGACATCGTCTTCCTGGATTGAGGGACAAATCCAGACAACCACTCCCTCCCTGGGCTTCTTCCTTCCATGCTTTACTCCTTTAATTGTGTGTTTAAAAATGAAACAGAATACAGATTGGTAACATATAAGCAGAAAGAAGCAGAAGTTTACAGGTATACGTGGATTTTATGTGTTCAACTGTGTAACCGTAATGGAACAGCATACAAATCATTAACTTGGGAGGTTGCTCATCCTTCACTCACCTTAGCTCTCAGTCAGAGAACAAAGGTCAAGGGAGGGGATTATCAGAAAAGAAAAATTGAACAGTGAGGATGGAGAACAAGTAGCAAATCCAGGGAGGAGGAGCCAGTGAGGGAGGCACTGAGATGGGGAATAATAAGCTAGGAATGTGGGCATTTCCCTGGGATTTCAGAGGATTAAAAAATGAGGATGTGCATGGAGATTTTAGTAAAACCTTCGATAGGCCAAATACTTAAATGTTTCAAGAAGATGTAAATAAATGTGAAAATTTTTACCTGGTTAGTGTTTCTTTAAGATTGAGATGTATTTGAGCCTGGACCAGACCAGGGATGCAATTAAAAATTTGAGTTTGGTTCATGGATTTATATTGGCCTTGTTTTCCTATTTACTTTTGTATTTTTTCTAGTTAGAGCATATTAAGGAAACTCTGACTCACACAGATGATTAGTTGCAAATGGTTAACAGTTAAGAACTTTGAGCTAGAGCTGGCAAAGGCTTTGCTCCTAAGACTTGCACTAAATTAAGGTAACTAGCAACATGAGTCAACATGATGTGGGCTCCGATGTAGAAGCACAAGCAGTCGGCTCTAAACCACAGAATAAGTTGTAAGAAGTGCATTGTTAGACAATTTCATCATTGTGCTACCAACACAGAGCAGACTCAGGCCAAACGCCATGGTCTAGGTCAGTGGTGGCAAACCTTTTAGGGCTTTCAGTGATAACAAACAGCCGGCTGTGGCACACATGCTGTAGGTTCACCACCACTGGTCTAGGTCAGTCACTCCTCTTGGGCTCTGGATGCCAGCACAGGACTTGAAACACAAACTGGAGGAAGCTGCTGTCGGCATAACACAGCACTATTCACAGTCCGCTCTTGTTTAATATTAGTTGGAGGATACTTTTAAGTAACATTAAAAGTGTATGCCAGGCATGTGGTGCACATCTGTATTCCCAGCACTCGGGAGGCACTAGGATCGCCCTGAGTTCGAGGCCAGCCTGAACTACAAAGCGAGACCTTGAATTTAAAGAAAAAAAGGTATAGTATAGTTGATATACAAATCAGCAACAGTTGTTTATTGTCATTATCAAGCATTAGACCCTGTGCGTAATTGTGTGAGCTATACTTTCACCACCACAAACTATGACTAGTACTTTGCAGAAAGATGTAATGACATCACAAAGAAATTGGAATTTCTCAGTTCCATTATAATTTTACTGGACCCCTGTCTCACATGTGGTCTGTCAGTCACTCATGTTATCTGCAGCACATGACATAATTGGTCACACTGAACACATGTAAGTGTGTGTGTGTATGTGTGTGTGTGTGTGCCTCAGTCACCTTTCTTGTCACTGAGACATGTCTGAAACCCACAATGTAAAGGAGGGGCTAAGGCGCCAGTTGCCACAATCCAGAAAACAGTACTGATGTCAACAAGGACCCAGATGGCTCACTGATGTCCCAGGAAGAGCCAGCTCAGTGAAAACACACCAGGAGACGCCAGGCCCGGAGAGAGGGCCTGTCTTTATCTGCTGATTTATTTATGCCCTGAAATTTTCAAACTCCTTTCACAAACACCACCCATCATATCACTGAGAATCTTGGAAAGTGAGGCTGGGTGTGAGGGCCTTATCTCTAGCCAGAGCAGCAACCGCATGGTCCCTCTCTGAATGACCTCGTGCACAATTCATGAAGCAGCCCTTTCAGCCCGGCCCAGCGGGCCCGACTTTGAGGCGCTGGCTTCTCCTTGGCCAGGCGCAGAGTCTGAACAAAGACCCGAGAGCCATGGCCTTGTCCCCCAGGCTGGCCAGGTGCTGGGGCCCCGGGGAATCTTATTTGGTGGCCAGTTTAGCTTCTGCCCTGGCGGAGTTCACTGGGCAACAGCCAGGCTCCAGTAGCAGCTTGGAAACGCCCAGGGCTGCAAGGGACGCACCAGGGCTCAGCAGCGGCTGCTCTTGGGGCCTGTCGCTCCCATGGGCACTGGCGGAGGGCAGCCAGCACCTAGCCCACAGGACTCAGAGGAAGGTGACCTGTGGACAAAAGTTGCTCCTGGTGTCCTTTACCTGCAGCCTGAAATTCCAGCTCCCTAAGGTGTGCCTTCTGTCAGCATGTCAGCTCAACTGGCCTCCCCTGGTGTTTGTCTGGGGACTCGCCAGCGGCCTGGGACCCCTTCCCTGCAGCCCTCTCCTCTTCCCTTCCAGAGTCTGCTCACTGCCAGCTCAGTCAAACCCATCCCCGCTTCCTGAGCACCCACATCCAGCTGGGCCCCCTCGTAGGACCCTCCGACCCTACTCATAGCCTTCACTGTTATCAGGGGCCACCAGACACCTTGACCTTCCTGGGGCCATCGGCACCTTAAAACCTCCATCCTGGTGTCCCTCCATGTCATCAAACTGCCCTTTCTGACCCTTAACAAAAAGCAGCCAGAAGCTCAATCCAGCATCTCAGTGGTGGGGCCACCCCACAGTATGGGGTGGATTGGTGGGGGCCTGGGCACTGGGGCTGTGAACAGCTCAGGGAGGACCTCGTGCAAGTTTGGGGACTCCTGGGAGGCCCGAGCTCCGGAGGCCTCTTGCCCAGCCAGCCCTGTACCTGCCTGGAGCCTGAGACGGGAGGCGTTTAGTGGCAGCCTCGGGCTTCAGAGGGAGGAGCGAGCTCAGTTACCCATCGCAGGCAGGCAGGCAGCTCCCCCTCGGAGGTGGCTGCCCCCTCAGAATGGAGGTGTGCAGCTGCTGGGCAGGAAAGCAGGGTTACAGGGGCACCCGCAGGGCAGGATTTGCAAATCCTGCAAACTGTTCGCATTGGGTGGTTTCTGCTTCTCCACCGAGGAGGAGTGCACCAAAGGCTTAACCCGCCCTCGGGCAGTTTAGGGGACAAGTTGCTCAATGTTTCCCAGATCTCTGGATCCCCGGGCTAGTCCTGGCTGACCTGGGCACTAGTTTGGGACTGCTGCCCCTCCCATTCCCAGGGAGGCTGGAAGGAGGGCTTTTATCAATTGAGAAAGGACATCTCTACGCTGATGATGGGTCCCCCTGTTCATTCGCTTGCTCTACCCTCTTGGATGATGAGCCTCCCGGTGCCGTCCTAGACTCACCAAGGGACACCACCGTGCCACAGATGGTTCCTCCCCACAGAGAGCTCCTCAGGGGGGATGATTAACGGGGTTAAATGAGCAAGGCTGTGCCAGACCACGACAGGCAGAGGCAGCTCCTTGGGCCCACAGGGACGAGTCATCCCCTGTCAGACTGGGGGGTCAGGAAGCTGGAGGGGGTGTTTGCCAAGCTCCCTCCTCGCTGACCCTGCATGGCACAGGAGGAGGAGGTGGATGGGGCTCCTCTTTGAGCTGTGATTTTCAACCAGGCTGCTGAGAAAGCCCTGGGGACCTCTGAGCAGCCCTGATGCCCCGTCACCCACTGCACTCCAGCTAGTGGATCTGGGTCCAGTCCTGAGCCTTTTCTTAAACTCCCCAGGGGCTGCCTCTGGGCAGCCAGGCAAAGTAGTAGGGGAAGCTGTGCAGGAAGGCAGCAGAGCCCACAGGATGGGCTCTTGGGGTGAAGCAGGCCTGAGTTGTGACCCTTGCTTAGGAGTTTCTTAGCCTCTCTGGGCTGCGACCTCCATCCTGCAAAATGGGCTGCTACTCACTGGCTGGACTTGGCACCATGGGAACCCAGGGAAAGTGGGTAGCTCGCAGCCTGCTCCCTATGACTCAGTTAAATGTGAGTCCTCCCCTCGCCAGCACCGTGTAGTAAAGAGAGTCCAGGCAGAGAGGCAGGGACCCTGGCATGATCAGCAGCCCTGATCCTAACCTTGGTTTTCCTGGGGGTAAAACAGGGAGCACTGCAAGCTGTCCTCGGGCAGTGGACAACCGCAGCTGCTCGGGGCCCCCAGGTGAACCAGGGGCCTCAGGCCTCCCACGGGGCACTGCAGTGGGGATGGACAGCCCGGGCTCTCAGAGATGACCTGCACCCCATGGTGGCCTTTCTGGGTGGGGAAGCCGTTACTGTCGAAATAGCTGCTTTCACAGAAACGGTGTGAGCGGACGGGCCACCCCTGAGCTGTGGTTTTCCTACAGTGTCCCTTGCCCACACTGAACTGCTCCAGGGCCCTGTGTCTCAACTCCCGGAGCCGATATTTATCAGAGGTCTCAACGGCCAGCAACTGTTGGGAGGCCAGCAAGAAAGGCAAGGTCTGGGTCCCCAGGACTCGATGCAGTCTGGCAGTCACAGGAAGTCCATGCCTGAGAAGCCCGGCTGGGGCCTCACTGTCAGCCTCCCTCTGGGGCGGGCTCCGGCTCTGCAGGCCGAGCTCAATGCTCCAGGAAGAGCTGGGCCCTGGGCCTAGTGGGGAGGACCTCACAGATGCTCCCGCTTGGGCTTCCAGCAGCTCACGTGGGAGCCACCTCCCCCCCCCCTGCCCCCCGCTCCCTCCCACCAGGGCCCTCACCAGGAAGAGCTGTATCTCCGGGGCAGGTACTGGGACAGGGAAGGTTTGGTTTTCCTGCAGCACCTCCCACTCCCACTCTCAGCCTTCTCCCGCACCATCCTGGACCCGGAGAAACGCCTCTCTGCCCTCCCACAGGGAAGGACAGGCACCCCACACTCTCGCTAGCAGCCTGCTGTGCATGGATGAACAAGAGCCACAAAGGCAGGACAGGTGGTGGAGACTCCAGGTGCCTTGGGAAGGAGCCGACCTGAACGCTGAGAGCTCATGGGCCCTGGGCCTAGTGGCCAGGCCTGCAGGGGCTGCACCCAGGGACAGGAGAGCCCAGGACGCCCCCATCCAGGCCTGGATCCTGCCAGGGATAGCTGTGTGGCCAAGGAAGCTGGGTGTCCTCACCGAGGGTCCCGGCGGGTCTGCTGTGTCCTGGACCTCCCAGATGAGGCTCGCAACTGACATCACCACGGGTTCTCCCAGCTCAGGGCCACCATGGAGACCAGAGACCACACTTGACTGAGGCCAAAGGCGCTGCCTGCTCCATTTCCTCTGGGATGCTGGAGTGCCCCGTGCTGAGTTCCTGACATACCTCCTCAGGGGACAGGGACCAAGAGCTCCAGGTCTAACAGGCAAACGTCCCCCTGTCCAAGCTCTGCTGGCTCCACCAGGCAGGGGCTGACCCCCTCTGCACCTCTGGGCACTACAGTCCCCGCCTGGGCATGGCTCCTATCGGGCAGCCAGGACTGCAGGTTCCAGAAGGACAGGGGAGCCCCAGGCAGCCAGGGACCTGCTAAAGGCTGCACAGGCTCCCAGGCCCTGAGTCTCTGACCCTCCCACTACCCCGGACCCTGCATCTCCCAGGACCTCACCGTGATCTGGGCCTGCTCTTTGCAAACTTTTATTTAAAGTAAGTTTGCCTGAAACAAAATCTGACCTGCACACTCAACCCCTCAAGCCTTCAGAAGGGCAGAAGAGGGCAGGGTACCCCCGAGCCCACCTGTTTCTAAGACGACCCCAGGCGCCCCATGGAACCCTCTGATGGAGTCCAGCGTACACACGCTCGGTTCTGCTGATGAGGAAACCGAAGCCATGGAGGCGAGGTGTGCCAAGGCGGATTCAGGCTGCTCCCCCTGCCCCAGCCTGGCCCCTCAGCCCAGGTCACACTGGAAACCATTCAGGCGGCTCCTGCAGCGTGCAAACTGCCGGAACCCTGACTCGGACCGTATTTCTGCTCTGACAGCCAGCCGTTGGAACAGCAGCCTCCCGTGTGATCGCCCAGAAGTCTCCCCTTGGAGGAGCTGGCTTTGAACTTGTGGAGAACAAAGGCCCTTTTGTGACTTGCTTTTGGGAAGAGAGATGGGGGGGCAAATGCATAAATAATATGAAAAGCAGCGACCCTGAGTCTCTTTTGCAACCTCTCTCGTGAATATGAAATAAAAACCACTTTATTTTGAAAAGCTCAACAGAGCCAAGTTTCTCCCGCCTGGACACCAAAGCCCAGGGCTGGACTGAGCAGGACAGTGGCTGTGGTATCCCGGCACCGGGCAGCTGTGAGCACATCTGCCTGCTCCAGGCCCTGCTCAGCCCAGGAGAGCACCCTAAGACACAGCGTGCATCAGTCTTGAGCTCAGTTGCCAGAAGTCCAACTGCGTAAGAAAAGGGACACAGTTTTACCATTTGGGGCTATAAAATGGACTTTCTCCCTCCTTCTCTGCTGTTCGCAGCCGCGCGTGTCCTCCTGAGTTTCCCTCCACCCTCTTCCTGCCAGCGCTCCCTGCAGAAGGGCCAGCCCTGGGGCCCTGCCAGAGCCCTGGGGACTGCAGCTATCTGCCCACTGCCCTGCCCAGCCCCAGCATAGCGAAACTGGCCACCCAACTCACTGATGGCCGTGCCCACTCTCTCTCTCCTGCGACAAGCTCTGTGTCGCCTCCTCTGGGAAGCCCTTCCCCCGGCACTCAGCACAGGGCAGTGTCTTGGTCTCATGTTTACCCTCACAGCAACATCTGTGACAGAGGACATAATTCGCCCTTGTCCCCCAGCACTGGACCCAGGGCCCGCACAGCAGCAGCCTGGGGCAGACAGATGAGCAGGTTCACATGCTCCTTATTTCTCTACCTCTTAGGTAATGATCCCTGTGGCGTTCAAGACTCTTACAACCGCAATCCATCTGCTGTAAGAAAAATGAGGGAATGTACTGGGGCTTACAGGTTCGTATTTCTGAGATACCTGAATTGATGGCTTCAGCTATGGCTTGATCCAGGCATGCTCTCTCTCTCTCTCCCTCCCTCTCTCTCTCCCTCTCGCCTTTCCCCTTCTCCTTCTTCTCCCCCTCTTCTCCTCTCTCCCCTCCCCTCTCCCTCCCTCCCCTCCCTTTCTCTGTCTCTCTCAGCCTTATCACAGGCAGGCCTCCCACAAGAGAAGCTAAAGAGATACCTCCTACCAGCTTAGCAATCCTGTTGAACAGCCCCTCTGCCCCCACAGCTTGGCAAGGCAAATTCTTGGGCCCCCACCCAGTCTGGGGGTCTGAATGCAGGATCTTTCGTGGGGAAGTAAACCCTTTGGCAACTCTTATGCAGCAGAGACCTGAAGGGGAGGTCACAGTGCTTCCCAGCATGGTTCTGGCATGAACATCCTGATAGAATATTTCACATCTCCTTTATTAATACCATACATCATCCACTTCCAGGGAGCTTTCACAGAGCTTGGCTTCCACAGTGTGCTCACAGTGGGGGTTGGGGCCAGGGGACCTCGTGACTGGGGAAGCCCCCCCAGCAAGCAAGGCCTCCTGACCGTGCTGTACCATCAACACCTGAACCAAGACTCACCGCCTGAAGCTGGATTTCTTGCTGTTTCAGGTGAGGGTCAGAACCATCAGGATGCAAGTGCTGCTGGGAGCACATCTTCTGCCCCAGGCGTCATGTGGGCACAGCCTTGCAGTGAGGCAGGCAAATCAGGTGCCCCAGCCCCAGGGAGAGGCTCATGGTGCCATGTTGCTGTCGTTCTAGCTTGCTAATAAAACTTTATAGGTAGCTGTACACACAGACATAGATCTACACACACAGACCTGAATTTACCTATGATCACACTTACTTAGCTAGAACCAAATGCAGAAGATCCATATGACCTCATGGAATCCACAACAGACCCATCTTCTAGACAGGAAACCCCAGTCCAGACAATGTCTCAGTCCCTTTAGATCGCTGGAAAAAAATACCTTAAGCTGGTTACTTTAAAAAGAAGGGAAATTCGTTTCCTCACAGCTCTGGAGGCAGGAAGTACAAGACCAAGATGACTCCAGTCTGCTGAGGGCCCAGTCTCTGCCTCCTCCGGAGAGGACAAACTGTGTCCTCACATGCCAGAAGAGAAGCAAGGGGCACTGCCCCTCCCTCGAGCCCATTGTAAGGGCACTAATCTCTTCCGTGAGACCTCTGCCCTGTGACCTGACGGCCTCCCGAGGGCTGCCCCTCCTGACACCATCACCTCGGCCTTCAGCTTCAACTTAGAGGTTTGGGGGACTCTGACCATAGCAGGGGGCAAAACCAAGGTCAGTCGGCCAGTGGGTGGAGAGGCTCTGAACGGGAGGCCTGAGACCCCGAGCTGCACACTGCACTTCAGGGCCCCATTCACTGTGCTGGACCCGAGTCTGGGCTGGATGGGGGGACGGAGTCGGATCCATCAGTCAGCCCGGGGGGCGGGGCCACCCCATCCTGTCAGTCATGGAGCGGGCAGGCTGCCCTTCGGTGAGAAATACCTGAGATACACAACTGAATGAGGAAAGGTTTGTTTGGTCTCAGTCTCAGAGATTTCAGTCTACAGGTAGCTGGCTCCATTACTCTTTGGCCCATGGTAAGGCAGAAGCGTCATGGTGGAAGGGCAAGGAGACAGAAAGCTGCTCCTGTCATGGTAGCCAGGAATGAGGGTGGGGGGACAAGTGGAGAAAGAGAGGGAGGAGAGGGAGAGGGGGAGGGAGAGGGGGAGGGAGAGAGAAAGAGAGATGATTAAGAACAGAGATGAGAGGGCCAGGGCCAAAATCCACTCTCAAAGCCGTGGCCCCCATGACCAGTTTCATCCAATTAGATCCCACCTCCTAATTAGCCCACTAACCCACTTGAGGAAGTTAGAGCCCTCATGATCCAATTACCACCAAATACCTATCAGTGGCACCCAAGCCTTCAACACAATGAGCCTTTGAGGGGCATTTCAGGTCACAACCATAACAGATGTGGCCCTTCCTGTGTGGCCACCCTGGCTTGGAACAGGCCCAGCTGCCCTATCCCTTCACTCTTAGGGGACCAAGGGGGGTCAGGAACAGCGAAGACCGCAGGACCCCCAGGCCTGGAGCAGCCAGTGGCACATCTGGTCCAGGCTTTGAGGGGCCCGGCCAGGCAGCAGGCTGTAGTAGGACCTGGGGCGGGGGGTGGGGGCTGCCCTTCCCAGGGCAAACGTCCACTCTTGGGATGGAGGACTAGAATGTCATTCTGATTTCCCAGCTTGTATGTGGCCCCAGGTTAGAGGCTACAGGTTTTCCTGTCACATTCACCCTGGGCAAAAATGGTTTCCTCACCTGTGCCTCTGGGCCTCTCCCTGCTCTAAGCCCATAACTCCCCAGTCCCTGCTGTCCCGAGGTCCCTCACCCCAGTCCCACCCCTCCCTTTCCTTCCCTGGCCAGGGCCCATGTCTGGAGCTCTGCCGAGGTCCCCATCCTGTGGCTCAGGTCCGAGTGGGTACGTAGGCTGGTACCCTATGCAAGCTCTGTGCAGACAGTCCTGAGTCCAAGCACCGACAATGCAGGGGACACTGCAGGTGCAGAGGCCTGAGTCCAGGGAGTGCACCGAGGCGGAAATCGTCCTGCAGCAAACCACATCACCTGGGGTGTGAACTTGCCCTTCGCTTGAATTTCATTCCTCTTTCCACTTTGTTTGCATTTAGATTGCAAATGGGTCCTGGTGGCCTGGGTCTGTGGAAGCCGTGAGCGTGGGGGTTGGGCCTGATTTCAGTTTCATGTATCTAAGTAACAATATAAGAAAGGTGATTTAAGTGGGCACCAAGGGAATCTCTCCCTCTAAAATGGGAGCGGAGAGGCCATTCTGCCATCTGGGTTTGCGGGACACTAGGATGATAAGTAATCAGCGCTTTGGAGGTGTCAGTAGCCAATCATAAGCACCTTAACAAGAAGATGGCCAAGAGGTCTGAACAGGCAGACAGCTCTGTGCTGGGTATGGGTCCAGGGCCTCACACGTGCCAGGCAAATGCTCTGCCACTGAGCTGGGCCTCCAATCCTTCCATTTCTTTTTCTTTTCTTCCCCCAGTACTGAGGCTTGAACCCAAGACCTTCACATCCAAGTCCTTTTTATAAATTTTTTCTTTTGAAACAGGAGTTTGCTAAGTTGCCCAGGCTGGTGTTGAACTGGGGATACTCCTGCCTCAGCCTCCAGAGAGGCTGAGGTTACAGACATGTGCCACTGTGCCCAGCACAACTCCAAGTTTGAGCCATGTCCCTTTGTGACCTCTGAGCTGGGAAAGGATTTGGTTTTCAAATCTGAAAAGGAAGGGAGCTGTGGTCCCCCCTCGGGGGCCACTGTCACTCTGAAGGTTGTTGGTATGGCACAAGGCTGCAGCCCAGGAGGCACCGGGTGGCCTCTGCCCTCCAGGCGCCCCACCCCAAGCCAGGCCTGCTTCACTCAGTGGGGATGCCAGGCCCTGTGCCAGCTGGAGAGAAGTCCTGGTTTGGGTCACTGCACCTCAAGACCCTCCAGGGCCAGCTGTCCATGCTGCTGCAGGGAAAGGAGCCCCCAAAGGGTGGACTCAGACCACTCACCCTCCAACGTCAGCACAAAGGGAGCCACTAGCTCCTCACTTCCGGGGCCAGGCTCTGGCTGGGGCAAGCAGAAGGGTGACCTCCAAGTGTGGACCTGGGGCTGGCAGGAAGTACAGACAGAATGCAAAGCACCCAGCTGGAGGGTTCTGTGCTCCTCACTGAGGCCAGCGCCTGCTGACCTGCGCTGAGGTCAGGGTGGCCAGTGAGCACCCACAGGAGTCAAGGTCCTCCAGTCCCTGCCAGCTGGAGGAGCCCAGTGGGAGGTGGGTGAGCTGCCAAGGGCAGACTTCGAGGCCGGAGGGCAGGGCTGTGGGCTTCTCAGAGAGCAGCTGTGAGCACCAGCAGCCTGGCCCCCGGTGTGGCCCCTCCAACCATGGCCCACCGTTCACCCGCGACATGGGGGCACTGGGCCCAGAGTCCACACAGCAGGGTCTGGTAGGATTAACTGACAAGGCGAAGATCTGATTTATTTTTACTTTTCAGGACTGCCTCCACCAAAGTGAAGGCTGCTATTTAACCAGCAGCCACTAAAAATAAACATTTAAATACCACATTTGTGCAGCTGAGCCAGGCTGGGCTGCACCTTAGAGGTCTGCTGTCTTCCTCAGCTGGCAGGGACAATGACACTTTCAAGGCCCCAGCGCTAGGGGACACAGCCTTGGCCCAGTAAGAGGACAACCCTCATGTCCATGCACACCCCTTTCCCAGAGTCTGTAGAAAAGGGCAACTGGCTAGTGATGAAGAACAGAAGGCCAAGAAAGAAAACGCTTCTCCAGAGAGGGTTCCCCATGGGAGGGTGAGCAGACCTGGAAGAGAACCCTTGACCGTCCAGTGTATGGCTGGCTCCAGCAGGACACCAGAAACCACCAACATGGCCAGGCCCAAGGTCAGACCACATGTGGCAGCTGGGAGAGAGCCAGACTGCAGTGAAGAGTCCTCACTCGGCAAGCGCCTCTCTGCTATTCCCCAACCTGGAGATTTCCAAACACAGCCTTTATCCTTAGGAAGCTGAGTACAGGGAAGGCTCTATCCTGGGCATCTGGGGAGAGAAAGAGAAAGAGAAAGAGAAGAGAGAGAGACAGAGATATGTGAGAGAGAGAGAGACAGAGAGAGAGAGACAGAGAGAGACAGAAGAATCAGTCACAGAGGAGAGACAGAAAGAAAAAACAAGAGATAGAAAGGGTGAGGGGGAGAGGAGCGGGAAAAAGAAGAGAGACTGTGCTTGGGGAGAGAAAAGGAAGAGTGGGCCCAGCTTTGGTAGGTGACTGGATCGCGGGGTCACTGTAGTCATCAGTGGATTGATCCACTGATCAGGTCCCAGCTGAAGGTGCTGTGAGGAGGCGGGGCCTGGCCGGGAGAAGTGAGTCGCTGTGCACATGACCCACCTTGAGCCAGCTGATCACGGACTGGACCCTCTGAAACTGTGAGCCAAATAAACTTCTTCACTTTGAGAGTGTCAGGTATTTTGTCTCAGAGACAAGAAAGCTGACCAATACACAATGTTTTCCTAAATATGATAGCATAAGCAAAATAAAACATCAATAGATATCATCAAAATTAAACACCTATGCAAATTAAAACTGCTGAGATTCCAGCTCACTCCAGGAAGAATGGCTGCTATCAAGAAATCAACCAATAACAAATGCTGGTGGGGCTGTGGGGAGAAAGGATCCCTTCTCCATTGTTGGTGGGAGTGTAGATTTGGTGCAACCACTGTGGAAATCAGTATGGAGATACCTCAAAGAACTAGGACTAGAGGTCCCATTTGACCCAGCTATTCCCCTACTGGGAATCTTCTCCAAAGAATTAAAAGCATCATATGCCACAGCGATATATGTGCACCCATGTTTATAGTAACACAATTTGTAATAGCTAAAGCTTGGAAACAGCCCAAATGGGTATCAACTGATGAGTGGATAAAGAAGATGTGGGGTTTTTTATACAATGGAGTACTACTCTGCCATAAAGAAGGATGAGCTTCAGACATTGATAGCTAAATGGATGGACTTTGAGGCCATACTCTTAAGTGAAATAAATCAGACACACATGTTTAAATAACAACAAAAAAAAAACCACTCTTGTGCTTTAAGGACATCACCAAGAATGTGAATGGATAATTCAAAATGGGATAAAAATACTTCCAAATCTGACAAGAAATTTGTTTCTAGAATATATAAAGAATTCTCAAAACTGAATAATAAAAAAACTCCATTTAAAAATGGCCAAAGGCCTGAATAAATATTGTTATGGTTTATACCTGGATGC